ATATAAGATTGAGGTTGTTACCCCATTCACTCCCTTACCACCATCGTCCACTATAGGTGTGTTTACTACGATTCCCTCCACTTCAACATTGACATCACCCGGTCCATTCCTCTTCTATACTACCTTCGTCCATTTTTGTCGGGACTATGTCGACAGTATTTATTGCACATATGACCTTGATCTACCATAATGATGCACTCATTACTTAGATCTTCTACACTGAGAGCGAGGTACAACTCCATGCCCTTACCAGAGGGAAAGGTAGAGGTAGAGGTAGAGGTAGAGGTAGAGGTTGTGGCGGCCGCTGAGACAGAGGTTGTGGTGTGAGTAGAGGCCAAAGTTGAGGTTGAGGTACATACTATGATAGTAGTGCACCAGATGAAGGGGTTTCACAGCTCACTGTGATATCCCAAGCTTTGCCGAATGTGGTATCCAAGATTTCTACTACACACTTTGGTGATAGGAAGCCACATTTTGCACAAGCAGGCGAGGGAGTGCTACATGTAGCATCGCGAGATATTGAGAGAGTGTATAGTAAGAGACCTAAAAGAGAAATGCACATTAGGGATAGTATCAATTGAAAAGCCCTAATTTTGAAATTGAAAAACTCCAAATAAAAAATTAAATCCCTAATAGTTGAAATCAATCGTTTTGAACAGAAAAATGCTTTATTGAGTTGAAATCAGTCATTTTTATCACAATCAAGCAGTAGGCTAAAAAAAATACATAGTCAATTCTTATTTTGAACATATGAGCTTACTTCCATTCTTTTAATCTCAGAGCAATACAAGTCACTTAATTGGCTAAAATACCAAAGGCAACAGTTGCTAAGTATTGCTCTCAATAGAAAAGTTGTCACTCCATTCGTCCCAAAATATTAGTTATTTTTCAAAAATCAATGACTAAAATAACATGAATTTTTTTATTTTATTTTATTTTTAAAAAAAATTCATTAACATTAATATACACAAAAAGTATCATTATGACAATTGATATTCTCTAAAAAAAGTCAAAGGATAGTTTTGAAAAATTAATATTTTTAAAGTGTAATAATTATATTATAAAAAAAAAACTAATATTTTGGGACGTACATAAAATTGAAGAAACATAAAGTACATCACATGTTCATGATTTGTAAATATTCTTCAATTCAGAAAAAGAACCAACCATCAAACAAAATGAAATGAGTTTAAACATTTAGAATAAAAATCTATTAAACACAAAAATTATGACTCAATGGAAAAGTCCTAAATTTGAAATAGATTAGCCCTAAATTAAATATTAAAATTGTAATATCTCCAAACAAAATGAATCTGGACAGTGGGAGAGAGATGTGAGAGATCCGATATGGGTGAAACAGCTCCGCGACTTGTCTTTCTTCTCCCTGTCGTTGCTATTATTGTGTTCTTTTTGTTTTTGCCTCAATATGTTAGAGACAAGGTGAGTCTGTGAGCCACTTAAATATATATATATATATATATATTTTGTAAAAAATTATTTTGTAAAGCCTGCTTTATATATATATATATACTAACTTATCACCCGTACTATGTACGGGATAATTATAGATATTTATTTGTGTTTTAGATTTTTTTAATATATAAATTATGTTTTTTAAGATTTTTTATAAAAATAATTTAACAATTTTATCACTTACCATAGTGTATAAGAGAAGTTAAAAACGGTACTGCAATAACTATGCACGAGATGTATCTATAATTATTTGTATGAAGGGATTTTAAATACTGATCAGGAGATTTTGATCAAATCAACAAATGCAGGCATGTGAAAGACATATAGATTGAAAAAAAGTTAATAAATACTGATCAAAGGATTTTGACCAAATCAATAAATGTTGAGTTTTTTTTTTTAAATAAAAAATTTTAAAAATTCAGATTGGGATATTGGAACTCTCACAGGCCTTGGGGTTAAAAACTCCTTTTTACTTAATACATAGTATAGATATAGATATAGATAATATTTTTGCTAAAAACAAAAGTTGAAAATAAAATAAATATTTTTTTGTGTGATTTATAATTGGTGTAGAAATGTCTTTACAAAGCCCGCTTTTGATTAATTAAGTGTTTAAATATAACTTAATCAAAAACGTATTTTCAAATTATGTTTTTATGTTATATTTTTATTATTGTTTTAACCAATCTTGAAATTGAAAAACGTACTTTGAAAATACTTTTTCAAGAAAAAATATTTTCAAAACCCGACTTATCCTATCTTGAAAATAAAGTAGAAATCTAGCCTCTTATAGGCCACATGTTTGGTGTGGTTTTTTTGAGTCAATTTATATATTTTAGCTTTTTTCTTTTTGGATATTATATTGGAAAAGATATTTTTGACTATTTGGTTAAATTTATTTCAAACAGTTTTTTATTGTAACAATGTTTTTAACTAAAAAAAAAACAGATTATGAGAACTTGCCTACTCCTCACTTCTGATTATCAGTTTCTGATTATAATATCTTATTTACGATTGCACCCTTAGTTTTTTTTTTAAAAATGAAAATTGTGGACTAGCAGGTAATAGCAAAAAAATAAAAGATTAATTCAATTTAGAACTAACAAAGGTTAATTCAATATGCAATTAATAAGGATAAAAAAGACATTTATACATCAAAAAGTCATTTCACAATTTATTACCAAATACTATTTAATAATTTAAATCTACAATCTAGTAGTTGCATCAAATAAATTAAATACTTCTGATTAAAGTTATAGGTATTAGCACATTTTTTATTTTTATCTTTTTATTTTTTTGAGTTATATTACATTTCTACTTTTTTTTACATATTTTTTTTCATAAAAAATTAAAAAATATACCTATTTAGATCATTCCTAACACTTTCATAATCTATAATCTATTAAATTATAACCTATAATTTGTTTTAACTGTTATACTAAATACCCTTACGCTATGTTTGATTCAGAGATTTATGGAGGAATTTGGAAAGAAAAAAGGAAAAAGTGTGTAAAATTGAGTGAAATATAAGTATATTTTATTTATATTTCACCTACTAACTATTTATCTTTTCAAATCCCGCCTCAAATCTCTGTATTAATATAAAATATTTGAATCAATTACCCAAAAAATATTCAAATCATTCAACTAGGCGTCGTAAGGGGGGCATTTATCTAAATAAGCTAAAATAGTAAATCAATTCCCAAACTAAGCCTAGTTTTCAAAGAATTTCCAAAATAAGCTAACTCGCGGTTCACAATCGTGATTTCAACATATTCCGCCTGTTTCGCGTGAAAATTGGGAAATCTTAAATTCGTGGTTACGAAAAGCGATTTTGATTAAGAAATCGCGGTTACAAAACGCGATTTTAATTAATTTTTTTTTTCTTTTGAACTCGCTGTTACAAACCACAATTTCATCCAAAAAAATTTTTTGTTCTGAATTTGCTGTTTGTAACCATGCATTTAGGAATTTTTTTTTTTGTGAACTCGTGGTTTGTAACCACGAGTTTAGAACTGTTACTCAACACATCACTCACACTCTACACATCACTCACACTCAATATATATATATATTTTAATATATATTTATAATTTAATATATATATATATATATATAAATTTTATTTCATAAAATTGAAACTAATATAAAATAATTATTTTTTAATTTTAATTCTTAATTTTTTTTAATTTTACTGTTCAGGGATAAAATTTATTTTTTTTTGATTTTTGGGTTTAAGGTTTAATTCTTAAAATTTATTTATTTTTATTTTAGGGTTTAGGATTTATAAAAAAAATAAATTTTAAGAATTAAATTCTAAATTCTAAACCCTAAATTCTAATTGAAAAAAAAATTAAACCTTAAAAAAGTATAATTAATTAAAAAAATTAATTAAAAAATTTTAATTTTTAAAAAATCAATCAAAACAACAAAATGAGTAAAAAAAAAAAAATCTGTAATACCATTGTCATAAATAATAAATATAAATATAAATATTTTAGGCTTGAACAAACATATTTTTTAGTTTATGTTTTAAATTTTTTTTAAACATTTTGTTCAAACCAAACACATTTGTAATTTATGTTTTTCTAAAAAGAAATAGAAACTAGTTTATAAAATTTTTGTAAACATAAACCAAAAACATAAATGTTACCAAACGCTACCTTAGTGTTTAGGGATAAAATTTTTTATTTTTTTATTTTAAGGTTTAGGGTTTAATTCTTAAAATTTATTTATTTTTATTTTAGAGTTTAGAATTTAGGGTTTAGAATTTAGAATTTAATTCTTAAAATTTATTTTTTTTTATAAATCCTAAACCCTAAAATAAAAATAAATAAATTTTAAGAATTAAACCTTAAACCTTAAAATAAAAAAAATAAAAAATTTTATCCCTGAACAGTAAAATTAAAATAAAAAAAATAATTATTTTATATAGTTGATTATTATTTATTATTATAAATTATTATTATATATATTTAACATTAGTTTCAATTTTATGAAATAAAATTTATATATATATTAAAAATATATATATATATATATATTGAGTGTGAGTGATGTGTTGAGTAGCAGTTCTAAACTCGTGGTTACAAATCACGAGTTCACAAATTTTTTTTTCCCTAAAAGCGTGGTTACAAACAGCGAATTCAGGACAAAATTTTTTTTGGATGAAATCGTGATTTGTAACAGCGAGTTCAAAAGAAAAAAAAAATTAATTAAAATCGCATTTTATAACTACAATTTCTTAATCAAAATCGCTTTTCGTAATCATGAATTTAAGATTTCCCAACTTTCACACGTAACAGATGAAATATGTTATTTTGAAAATTCTTTAAAAACTAAGCTTATTTTGAAAATTGATTTACTATTTTAACTTATTTAGGGAAATGCCCCGTCGTAAGGGGCCACAGCACAGCACCCACCCCGATCCCTATGCATCCATTGCCAGGACTTGAATAAGTTTTGCCATGGCAAAAAATCAGTCATTTTAAGCTATAAGAGTTGTATTTTGCGCTGACAGAAGGTAAATTAACTCTGGCAACAGTATCAATCAGGCCTTCTCAAAGAGCTTCGTTACGGCGTCGTTAAGAGCCTTCCTTTCCCTTCCGCTTAAACCCCTCGCGCTCTCTTTCTCTCTCGCAAAACCCTAGACCAAGAAACCGCCAAGTCCCAATCTTTCTCTCTGTCCAAACAGAAAGAGAGAAGAAGAAAATGGGAATCTTCGAACCATTCCGAGCAATCGGATATATCACAAGCAGTGTGCCCTTCTCTGTTCAGAGATTGGGCACTGAGACATTCGTCACCGTCAGCGTCGGCAAATCTTGGCAAATTTACAACGTAGCTTACTTTTTTTTTTTTTTTTTCTTGTTTTTCTCGGAAAATTTTTCACCGCAAAATTTTCTTGTTATTTTTATTTATTTTTCGAGATAAAGGTTGGGAAATATTTTATATTGTGCAAACAGACAATTAAATCATGCACTTTTAGCTGAAATTGAGATGTTTAACTTGCTCGCTCTTTGTTTTTGGTTTTTGCAGTGTGCTAAGCTCAGTTTGGTGCTTGTTGGTAAGGTTTCACATTCTGCAACTTTAGCATCTTTTAGTTTTTCTATCTATTTTCATAATTTATGTTGTGTTTATGTGTTTGTGTATAAGTATGTTAAGCCTTTATGTTAAATTTAAAAAAAAAAATGTTTGAAGTGTAATGACTGAATAGAACTGCTATTGATACGATGGCTATCCAAATATGAATTCCTTTTTCTGCTTTCTGTGCTTTTTATAAAGTTTCTTTCACAATCAGTAACAAAGAAATTTTAATGGAGAATGAAGGAGGACAAATGTCCACCAAAAAGTAAAGAAAAATCACAACTATGAATCACTCACTGCGCCCCAATCACTCCTAATAAAAACTAATCAAATCTCTCCTAGGAGGAGGAGAGACTGAAGCCAATGTCAAATAACAATATTTATCCCATAATGAGAAATTTGGGGGAAAAGGGGTCTACCAACAAAAGAAAAAAAAGAAATGAAGTAAAGAAAACAAAAATTGCATCATCTTGCATTCAACTTTCCAATTACTAATCATAAAAAATATAGGAATTTCTTGAAAGGAGATGATACTGAAACTCAATAACTAGTCAAATAACATATTTTATCCCATTAACTCGCACAATCCATTTCCTTAAAAAATTCTTGCATTCCTCTGCCACCATAAAACTCATAGCACCTCACAAAGTAGCACTAAAATGCTAAAGCCTTCTTATTAAAATCAAAGGCGCTAAAGTCAATCTTGATCAACTGAACACATGAAAAATGGACCACCATCAAGTTCTTCCATTTGAACTAGTCTCTGCCGTAATCTCATAGCCACCGGATAGTGCAAAAAACAAATGATCAACAGTCTGCTCACTCCTTCTACATACGACACACCATTATGGAAGTAAATAGGACTTAGGTCTCCTTTGAATCATATCATAACCATTGAGTTTTTTAAGAGCCAATGTCCAAGCAAGAAATTTTTACTTAAAGTGATACATATGCACTGCATATCATCTTGGAAGGTCAAAAAGTGGTAGGTTAGGGTCATCAATATGGTATCAAAAAATTGATTTACAAGAAATTTTTTAATTGAGAGAGTAGATCACATTATTTCATCATGGCTTTATGTCTTAGGGAAACACCATCAAGAAGATAACTAGGAAACTGATTCATTTACCTCATGTTCATTGAGAATTCTAGAGAGATTGAATTTCCCAGGTATTGGAAAAGCATAGAAGAAACCATGGAAGCAATAAAAAGCCTTGCAATATCGAGATGAACAATACAATTGAGGAAATGAATGATCACCCCTCTAAACATCCTCTCAAAAGCAAAGATCCTCCCTACTACCCACAATAAGTTGAATATGTTGAGAAGATTGAGACGGACCTTGGGAAATGAACATCTAGGGAGACTGATAATTCCTTTAATTGATCTCACAAGAATCCCGACCATTTGAATTCCATAATTCTAACGCTAGCATGCCACAAAAAGTAATGCTTCTAAGGTAATCTTCACAACCATTTACCAAGCAAGGTTCTATTCGTAGCAGTATGCTCCCTAGAGCAAGCCCCCCCTTACACCTTGGAAGGGTCACCACACTTCCCAATTAATCGAATGAACATTTTCCCCTTCTATACTTTCTTCCTACGAAAAATTCCTTATTATTTTGTTTATTTATTTATTGATGGTAAGATGCAAATGGACCCTGTGGGTCTTGAATTGAAGACATGCCATTTGAGCTAGAGCTCATTGGCTCATTGCCTTGGTCAATCTTATTTGCCACTCCTACCGGGATTCTAAACAAGGATAAACAGTACATTGGAATACTTGACAAAGTAGACTACACTAAAGTAAGTCTCCCATCTTTTGATATCAATACCCTTCTCACCCTCAAACTTCTTGCCAATTTTCTCAATCACTACTAGATCCCAAAAGTCTATGGTCCTAGGATTACCTCCAAAAGAAACCATCAAATGCTTAAAATGCAAAGACTTAATGAGATATCCTAGTTGGCCAACCATCTTTAATAGCTTATCACATGGAATATTAATTCCAACTATGGAGCTTTTTTTCAAATTCACTTTTAAGCCTAGATGCTATTTCAAAAATTTTATGAATAAAGAGCAAATTAACCACTTTCTCCTCTTCCCCAGAAGAGAAAAAGAAGGTATTGTATTAGCAAACTTTATATGAGAAACTGGAACCTTATTTCCCTACACCCACCTTCTTAGCCCTGTCAATCATCCTTCCCAAACCATCAACAACTAAACTAAACAAAAAAGAGAGAAATGATCACTCTGTTAAGAAATCCCTTCTCTTGCATTCAAGATCTAAGAAACCCCCTCTACATAATCATGTTATTTATTTATTTTTATATTTTAAATCAACCTTGAAGATAACCCCATCCTTATTTGTTGACAATCTTGTTCTCTGTTCATTTTTTTCCTCATTGACTACCAAAGCAACATTGAACATTTAATGCCTTTCCACTATAGTAGCCTGAGAAGAAGAGATAGTATCCCCAAAATCAATTTTAAAATCATAATTAGCCAAAATTTTATACAACAATGTAACTAAACTGATAGGCCTGGAATTACCAAACTTCTCGAGCTTGATTAGCATAGAAATTTTGGAACTCAGGAACAATGGAACTGGGAGAGGCAGTGCCAGGATTGGATTGAACAGAGAGATAAGGAAATGGTGTGATGGTGTTCAAACTCCCAAAATGCAGTCTAGTTGCTGGTTTTTGGAATTCGACATTAGGAAGACACGACTAACAGATAAGCCATGTTAATAGTAGGTCTAATTCAGTGATAAAAGAGTTCTGTTTCTGAACAGATTTGTCCATCACTAATGGGGACAAAATTCTCCTTCTTAGGAATTAAACATATAAAAGTAGCATTTGTTCGAGCATTAACAACTCCCTCTTAAAAATTCATTAAAAAATCGTGCTTAGCTATATCCTAGCAATCTTGGAAAGCAGCCATTGTAAAACGTGATGGCCTTGGAGACTCATTCTATTCTCATTCAAAAATTGCTTTCCTAACTTCCAATTTATAAAAGGCCTTTTCAACCAACCAGCCTTGTCAACATCAGTGGGAGACCAAACCAACCTTTCTAACCCTGACCTTCTCACTCCACTACTCCTGTGAAGAAGCGATCCCATGCTCACCAAAACTAGTGTCATCTTAAATGCCTGTATGTATGCATTGTCGTGCACTTAACACCTTTTCTTTGGTCTCCAAATTCTATTTGTCACTTCAGTTTGTTCAATTGCTGTAAGCTATAGTGATGTTCATTTTCGAACTTGTTACAAAAAAGGATATGGAATGCCTTGAAGTATGGAATGGGTTCTTACATGAAAAACTAGATTCATCCAAAATTTTAGCATCAATTCGCTCCCTTGTCAAATCCACATGTATACTAATATATGCATTCCCAAAACCTTAGGCCCCCCTTTTTATGATCTAATAAAATATGACAATATATTTAATACCAGAACTGATAAGAAATACAATTGGGCACTTAGTTTTTAGTTTTTATTCTTTTTAAGTTTGCAAATATTCTCATGGAAAGTTGCAAAAGAGGGTATTAAGAATTCATGCTCTAGAGTAGTGCTGTATTTTTGCAAGTTAAAAGTATTTTTAAAGGATGCCAAGGGGCGCTCCACTCAAGAACTCCAGAGTAAAGCTGTATATTGTTTAATTTCTGCTGAGAGGCAACCAGGGAGGTGTGTCTCGTGGAAGATCTCGGAGTAGTGGTTTCTTTCAAAAGCTCAACATCAGCTGTGTCCTATACTTGATTTAAAAGAAGACAGCTCTGTAATTTATCCTTCAAGGGGAGTGTAAACAGAACGATCTCCATAGATCACATCAGTGCACTGTGTCTCTGGAGAAAATCAAAATTTAATTATCTGAGATTATGAGGGATTGGTAAAATTCTCAAGGTGCTACTGATACTAACTTTAGTGGTGCACAGTGTTCCAGTATATACCTATCAGAAAAAAGTCTTCTAGTGTTTTTGGGGAAGTGACATGGCTGATGTTCTAAAATTCCATTGAGTACATGAGATGCTTTCCTATGAGTTGATTGAAAGCTAGTTGGAGGAATACTGCAGTCATTTTCTTCAATCCACCTTATTCTGCTTTGCATAATTCTACTCAGTGATTTTGCTTTATTTGTTTCAAATGATGGTTGTATTTGGTGATGATGGACATAACTATATTGAAGGCACTAGTTGTTTGTTTGTTGTTTTGTGCAACTAATAGCAGATTAGGATATATTAATTATGGAAGATTAGAATATATTACATAACTCTTACAAATAATTGTAGTATGCCTAGTAGAGTGTGTATTCAGACCTTTACTTGCTGGTTGCTTTTAATGATAGACCGACTTGTCATATCATATTGGAATTTTTGGTATTACTATTCTCTCTTTTTGATCAATTTTGATAATCTTCCATCCTGGAAAATGTTGAATGAAGGTCCTCAATTGCCAAAGAAGATAAGAGCTCTTGCTTCCTATCGTGACTACACATTTGCTGCATACGGGAATAATATTGCGGTTTTTAAGCGTGCTCATCAGGTTTGTTATTGAGGGGCTCTTTCTTAGATGAGAAGGTTCTTTGTTGGACGCTGTTACCTTCAGCATCTGGCATGTCATTGGATTATATACTAATTGCTACTAAATACTTATATTTGTCAAAGACCAGTTTGGGAAATTGGCACTGGAAACCACCACTATGTCATTTCAAACTGTGCAGAATGTAATAATGATGCCTTTTTTTGTGGGGCATATTGTTTGTTTGTCAAAAACTTTCTTATAATGGTTAGAATGTTTTGATTCCAATGAAAATTATTTCTGGTTCTAGCACAAACATGTGAATCAACTAATACACACACAAATGATCCACATGTTATGATGGTAAAATGCACATAGACACGGATTTGCACTCTGATGCACAAAGCCTCATAGGCACATTGTTTGGTTGCAGTTTGTAGATCCCAGAAAATCACTGTTTGACTCTCAAAGCATGACGTTGGTAATTGTGGTCACCTGTTGTAGGCAATGTAAAAATACTCAACTTGAACTCAACTAGAAATGTCATTTAGTTGAGTCAACTCAAAGACTCAACTGAGTTTGATTGTTTTCCAACTCAAAACTCAGTGTAACATTTTCCATTTTCCCTTTGAGATGTGGGAATTTCTTAGAAGTAAATGAAAATCAAAACATCAATGTAACATGTTACTCATTTTAGGTTCTAATATTTCATTTTGTTGTTTTCATCATTTAATTAAAGTGGTACCTTTTAAAATTATAAATGTTGCAGTTTTTAAATTTTCGCTATGGAAATGGGGGAAAAGCATTGTTTGGTTAGCTACCTAATATTTAATTTGATAGTACCACAACACATTGAGAATTATCTGGAAGTTTTGAGGTATATCTCTCTTTTCTGTATACTTTTGGGACAAGTTGAATCGATTAGGTTTTTCCTTTGACTGAGTATCGGTTGGTCTCGGTGAGCCAGTTGAAGACTTTGATGTATGCAATTTTACTTGAATTGCTCATTTTTTGGTCAAGTCGAGTTGACTTGGTCAACTTTGGGAGAGAGAAACCCAGTTTCTAAACATTGATAATTGGCTGCAAAATATGTTTTCTAAGAAAGTGATCAATTTTCCTACTAACCTATATTCCTTGCTTTATGGTTGACTGTTCATTTATAATTTTGATACAAAATCATCTGGAGTTCACATTGTCCTTATTAATTTTTCTACATGTTGTGAATGATGGAGAAATCAAGTTTCTTTTCTTCTCTTTTTAGGGTAGTAAGAATATAGTTCCATGATTTGACTACCCAAAATTTTATTATCATAATGCTGAGTACTATTCCGTGTGTTTGTTTTGACTTTTTTGGATTAAGTTTTTTGAAAACTGAGGTTTTTGATTTTTGTGTTTTTTTGTTTTTAGTGAATATTTTTAAAATTTAAAACATTTTATTTTTTTATTTTTTTAGATGCACCTTAGATGTATCTAAAAAGTAAAAATTTTATGAAAAAATATTTAAAAAAATTAATAAATACATAAAAATACAAAAAATGTACTGAATTCTCATATTTTTTTTTTTGTATTTTTGGTATTTAGTGAGTTTTTAAAAGGTTTTTTCCGCAATTTTTTTACTTTTTAGGTATATTTGTGTTAGGTATGTCTAAAAAGTAAAAAAAATTGCTTAAAATATTAAAAAAATTTAGTAAAAACAAAAAAACACAGAAAACAAGAAAGTAGAATTTTCTGAAAAGTGTTTTTGGAAAAATGGAACCAAGCAAAGTGATTTGTTGCCAAATCACGAATCGAATCGTGAATTGTTTTGTTAAATTAATGAATTGTGAATCTTGTCAAATAGTGAATCATAAGATTCATTGTATTTAATATATAGTTTTATGTATTTATGTACACATAAAAATACACAAATAGTGTTTAAAATGAAATAAATATCAATATAACTAAATTGTATACATGTATATACGTATAAAATCTCATATATCAATATAACTAATTGATCTCTTGTATATATCTTGATAGTTTGGCAAAAATAACATCGTTTCATGCATTATATAAACAACAATAAAAATAGAACTAAATTGTATGAATTGTAAATTAAATTGCACGATTCACTCAATTTCCAATTCAATAGTACAATTCAAAGGATTCTAATAACCATGTTGAGTAGCATATAAGAATTCTAACCAATAGACCAAAGTGATTTCTATTCTTCCATGTCTGTTTATTTTTAACCATATGAAAGGGTGGTGGTGTGGGTTACCTTTGAGGGGGTGACAGATGTGGTGTCCGAAGTGTGGGGTTAAAATTTTTGCTATGGAACAAAGAATGCAAAATAAGACTACTTCAACATCTCTTCCTTATTCTTTTATTCCGAAAAAATCATTTCAGTTGCTGCAAAATCTTCCATAATATTTTCTTTGCTTAATTCATTTTGACATTTGAGTTTATTTTCTTCACTTAACTTGTATATCATGATTGCTTGCAGTTGATGTGAGGAGATTACTATTATTATTTAAATATACATCTATGTAAGTTTTTGGAGGAATGGATGGATGACAGTTATTCCTGAACAGGTGGCAACTTGGAGTAGGCATACTGCTAAGGTCAACCTATTGATTCTGTTTGGAGAGCACATCTTAAGTGTTGATATTGATGGCAATATTTTCATTTGGGCTTTTAAAGGAATTGACCAGAATCATGCTCCAATTGGACACATTTTGCTGGAAGACAAATTCAGTCCTACCTGTATTATGCATCCAGATACTTACCTAAACAAGGTAACTGCATGGTCTCTGTCTCTAACGAAGTAATGTTAAGAATTTTAAGTAGAACAATTATAAAAGGCTTGTCAGATGCTTCTTTATAGTCCTCTTGGTAGACCTTTTTCTCATTCAGTTATACAAACAGGTAATTCTTGGGAGTCAGGAAGGTTCTTTGCAACTTTGGAACATTAGTACAAAGAAAAAACTTTACGAGTTCAAGGGCTGGAAATCGTCCATATGTTGTTGCATTTCATCACCAGCACTAGATGTTGTTGCAGTTGGCTGTGCTGATGGAAAGATTCATGTACACAACATTCGTTATGATGAAGAGATTGTTACGTTTACACATTCTACTCGAGGGGCTGTGACTGCCTTATCTTTCAGCACTGGTAAGAATGGGGCTTGTGAATTGTGATTCTTTTGAGAATGCGCTATATTTAGCTTGCTTAACTAGTGTCTGTGTTTTGCTAGCTGCTTGTGGCTTCTAGCTTTCATGGGAATTTATTGGACCACGAGTATCGGTTCACATGTTAGTTAATAGAATTATGCTATTACAAATGTATGGTTTGTATGCTGTATGGTACATTACTCATTGATTCCATTACCTCAATACTCTCAATTGCTTTTGTGGTTTTAATTTTAAATGAGAATTCACTCCTCCACAACTTATTTTTGTTACCAGGAATTGGCCATAATTACGTGGTAGATGTACATTTTCTTCTACTGTTGTGTATTTCTTTGGTAAATTTGGGTGCAATGAGGAAGTCCTAGCTACTTGAGCTTTGATAATCTAGGGATTCCACAATATTAGAAAGAGGGCCTGAGATACCCCCATAAATATCTAGCAACTTTACATATGTAGCATAAACTATCACAGTGAGGGAAACTAGTTTGCATCTCAAATTTTTATACAATAGTTGGTGATACTTGGTTTTTGACTTCAATGAGCTCCCATGTTTGATATGTTCATGAACCATGTCGAAATAAGGATCTTGCTATTCATGAATGATGAGAGAAGAAAATTAGTAGCATAAGAAGCTAAATAAATGTGTGAAGTTGAAGGTTGTTTCTGATTGAGGAAATGTGGAAAGAAAATGTTATAATGTAATGTGTCATCTCAATAAATCTAATGATTTTAACAGTTTTGGAAAATCAAAACATAGTTCTGAAGAGTATTCATCCATCTGGTCGAGGATTTGGGACGAGACATTGAGTTATGCAACCTTAAGTCAAAGAACCATTAGTCAATGATATGAATATTAGAATAGAACTTCTGTAACTTTATGAAGTCCTATGGTTTTCGGTTTACACTATTAGAGTTGAAAAGTTATAGTTCTCCAAAGTTATTAATTTTGATCTTCCAATTAAAAAAAGTTACAATGGACCCTAGTTGTTTTGTTAAAGCTTATATGTTCAGGAATCATATGCAGTTTTAATTCTTTTGGGTTTGCTGTGCTTATCTTTAAGCTACCGGAACTTATCTTTACTTTTATCTTCCTTTTAGATGGACAGCCACTCTTAGCATCTGGAGGTTCATCTGGTATCATAAGCATTTGGAATCTTGAGAAGAGGCGGCTCCAGTCTGTCATTAGGGAGGCTCATGACAGTTCAATAATTTCACTGCACTTTTTTGCTAATGAGCCTGTGCTAATGAGTTCATCTGTAGACAACTCCGTAAAAGTAAGATCATTTGTTTCTGCAAAATTTTCAATTGAGCTTTTTATCATTTATTGCCATAATGTTTTTCCTAGGTTTAGGCAAATATCAAATGCAATGTTCAAATACTAAAAGGTAAAATAATAAGGAAACGCCAAATACAATCTTGACAGATTTATACTTACCCAACCCATGAGATCCACCCTCTAGCCAGGCCGGAGTATGTCATCATTGTCTTCCTCGTGCTTCTCACTTGAAAGTACACTGCCACTCCGTCAACCTCTTATATAAGTTAAACTCAATTTATAGAATACGCAGTCCAGTAGACAGCATATTGGGTTGGATATAATGGATGATACTCCATAGCTGTGTATGATGTCTGTCAGGATGTTATGTTTGGAAGTGAAGGTTTCAAACAGTGGCATGCTGGAAGTGAGATCATCGTTTAAGGTTTTTTGCAACGAGGAGGATGCTTGTCCTCCTGGGGAAGGTATGTGGCTCGCTAAAATGCCATCTAAGGTCGAGCTTCTTTGTCTGGAGAACAGCTTTTTGAAAAGATTGACTACTGATAACTTGGTTATTTGAGGTGCTTCCTAACTGGTGTTGCATATAAAAGGGTACTAAGGAGTCAACAATCATCATCTGCAGCATTGATGAGTGGCTGGAGATCAGAGTCTCTTCTTTAGTTGTCATGCAGAGACATAAGAATTTAGGCAACTGTCAAGGGCCTAATAGTAGACTTGGGCTGGCTTGGAAAACAGTGGTCCTGTAAATGATTTGGAGTTTTGGGAGGAGCAGGATGGATGATCTCCTAGAATGAAGAACCAAGCCAAAACAAGGAACATTTGTCTGGCTCTATTGTTTATGGCTCTATTTGTATGTTTCTTTTTCTTTCATGTTTCCTGGTACACTCTTAAGTTGCATGTTTCTTAAAGTTCCTAAGTGGCATTTCGTTATTGAAAATAAAAAAGAGATACAAAACTACTTATCAAAACAAGCAGGGAATTTTCCAACCCATCTTCTACTGATAAAAACACTACCTTCCAATCTACATAATGTTGCTTGAATTCCTCCTCACGAAGTCCATCACCATCTTCTCCAAGTCTTTGAACCACAGACCTAAGCATGGTGAAGAGAGACATGAATTAGGTTGGCAAGTTGGACACTGTATTCTTTTATAAGAGTTAAAAGCCCCGCTTTGGATAGATATGATATGATCTCTCTTTTTTTGATCAGCAACATAATTAATTTTATTTAAAATAGAAATGAAGTAGAAAGGAGGACAAGGAGTCCTCAAAGATTCCAATTAGACAATCACTTTTCAAGCTTTTCAACAACATAAATAATTCTATTTAGACAAGGAGTCCTCAAAGATCCCAAAGATTACATCCACACCACCTTAGATTTGAAGAAAGAATCCAATGGGAGACCCATGTAAAAGATGGTGAAACCACAATTGTGCATCTCAGGGTGGTCATTCCACATTCTTTGTTATTTATTGTTATCTTCTTGAAAGAAAATTTGGATAGATATGATCACTTCCAATTAGACAATTAGTTTTCAAGTTTTTTAACAACCACATCCACACCATATTTGAAGGAAGAATCCAATGAAAGATCCAGGTAAATCGATGGCAAAACCCCAATCCTGCATCTCAGGATGGTCATTCCATGTTCTTTATTATTTAGTTTTACCTTTTTCCTGTAGAAAAGGTTTTTGCTTCCATAATATATTGAACTTCTTAGATAGACAGGAAAACCACTGCTACTTGGATAAGAAAAATAGCATTCTGTAGAGAAGAAAGAGAATTATAAAGAGAGGTAGATGATTCCTCCAAAAGAGGAGGAAATTATAATGCACATTACGATGACATTGGGTATGGTTTTTCACTTTTGAGTTTTGCTTTTTTGATATGCCATCTTTTCTTCAAAATAGATTGCAACTTCGGCAACTCTGAGTAGTTGGGGTTTGCTTGAATGCTAGCCAAGCTCCATTTTGCGGCTGAGCCAATCTGTTGCACTATCATGCTGGGCTCCGATTGATTTTAGTCCACTAACCTGAGATCTTTTTAGATTTCTGAACTTAGCTTAGGTTGGATAACTATTGGGCTGGATTGGATTAGGCTGGATCAAGTTTGTTCATGAAAAAATTGAAATGCTTTGTAGATATTATTAATTTATTAGTGGGTGAATTTTATGTGTTTTCTTTCATCTCTCTCTCTCTCACACGCGCGCGCGCGCACACACAAACAAAAGTAACATCAATTAGTTTTACTAACTAAAAAAAGAAATTAGGTGATGATGACCAACAAGTTGTTTTTACAAGTCATTATTGCGTAATTAAATTATTATTTTATTAAAGTTGATCGTACAATTTTACGCATCCTCTAAATTTGTGTCATCTGAGTATGTTACATGCCATTCGGAGGTCTCTTCCCCATCCCTAAAGACAAATGCACGAGACAGAGAAAAACACTAAAGCAGTAATGATAAGGAAATGAATTGAAGGTTTCTCTTTTTACATTTATTGTAAGTGATTGAAGGTTTTCTTCTGTTTGGACATCATGTCTATCCTGTGGTAAATTGATGAGAATGGTGAAATATAATGGGTCTAAATACTTAATCTGCTCATTTATTGACTAGTGATTGCTCTTTATCTATTTCCTACTTGTATATTATTCTCACTTGCACTGATTGTGGGAATTGGGTTGTTGCCTAAGCAATACGGACACTTCTATGGAAGGCGGTGTGTTGTATCGAATACTCGTGTCAAACATGAAACTCTGCGGACACTCCTAAAATATTTTCCGACACTTCTTCAATCTGTCTTAATAAAAGATTCAAATTTATAATATTAGACACTTTAGAGTCACTTCTCGGACACTTAAGCAACACTTCTTGAACCTTCCAAACATGACCTCTGTGATGAATTTATCTTCATAGTAACAATGTTCTATATTCTTCGTAACACAACTTGTGTATTGTAAAATGTTTTGAAATATTTATAAGATGAATACATCATGTGTATTTCAATGTTCTACAATTGTTTTGCATTCTTTAGAATATAATTATTACGATAAGTATATCTTGATGTTTAAGTTATGGAATATACGACGTTTTAATTTTAATTATAGCTACATTATTCTTTTTTCCTTGTACTTTGAATAAACTATTCATATATTTTTGACATAATTTTTTTTTTACGTGTCCTGAACGTATTGTGGTCTGCATTTAAAAGTGAAAAAAAACCTCTGTGTTAGCATGTTGTGTTGCGTGTTTGTACTCCCTAGCTTGTTGCAAATTAATTGAATAAGTTCAACAACAATACTCAACCAAGCAAGTTTGTTCTTTTCTTTCCTTTTCTTTTCTTTTCTTTTTGGGTCCTCTCTTTGATATGCAAAATGTTGCCTTGAAAAACAATGAAAAAGAGTTGGTTCCTTATCCAAAGCTTTGAATAACTTGGCAATTATGCACATTTCTCTTTTCAATGTTCATTTGGCTCTACTTGTTAGATTGAGTGACTTTTAATTGTACATTTCCAAACACTTAAGCCAGTTTTTGATTATGTTGAATCTGAGTTTGGCTGAGATTTTAAGGAAATGAAACCTTGTATGAGATATTAAATTAGTTTTGTTTTTAGACTATTGATTGGTTGTTCTCTTATGGGTTTTCTGCCTGACTTTTTAGCTTTCTTAATTGACAGATATACATTGATATGGACATGGTACTACTTCAATTAGTTTTTTATACTAGTTTTGCTTGTCATTTTATGTAATTGTGACACTCGGTGCAAATGCTTATCTCTTGCAATCCATTTGTTTCGGCAGAAGGCATTTTTTTTTAGAAAAATGGTGTCGGCTGAAAATATTTTATGGAAAAAGGCTTGTTTTCCTGCGTTTGGTTGACCATAAAGATGATCCTAAATTTTTTTTTCTGTTGTTTGGCTTGCATCAAAAATCTTTAATATATCTTGCTTCCAAATAATTATGTATACAAAAACTTCCAGTCACAACATGAATATTATGTATAGCAACAAGAAAACAAACTAAGGGTTATTTTTTCTGAAGACATATTTACCAGTTGTGGCTGTGATGGCGGTTGTATGGTGGTGAGTGGCAATTGCAGCGGTAGCTTCACAATGTTGATAGGTTGGGGTGATGATGGTGGACCAATGGTGGGAAGAGTGGTGGCACCAACAACGGCATTGGCAGTGATAGGTTCGGGGTGATGGTGGTGGTTATGGTGGTGTGGTAGAGTTGTCTTGTTAGGTTTGGAAAAATTTTCTGCTTTAAAAAAAGTGGAAACAATTTTCACCCATATCGGTTCATATTTCGGTGGCCACAGAAAACGTTTTCTGTTGGCTTTTGTTTTCCATCATACCAAACACTAGAAAGTGTAAAAATTCTGCCAAAACAAATGGATTGTTTAATTTATGGGTCGATGCTTATATTATGTTTTGAATCATTTTCATAATTATTTTTAATTTCAGATTTTTGTACCTATTTTTTAATTAATATACAAGTGCATATTTGATTTTTGAAAATTGCCCCTTTTTACTGTTGTCTCCTTAGATGTGGATCTTTGACACAAGTGATGGGGATCCTCGTCTGTTACGCTTTCGAAGTGGGCATAGTGCTCCTCCCGTTTGCATAAGGTGACTATGCTTTAAATATGCATTGATCTTGGCTATTGTTGAGTTTCCCAGTCTGAGCATGATAGAATAGTGGCTATGTAGCAACTTCATCATGAAATATCAATTTGACTATTGATAATCTGACGATCTGTGCATGTAGTCTTTTATGATGTGTCTTCTCTATAAAGCAAAAGCATCTTATGATACAGAATGCTTGACTTGCAAGTACGCACTTTTGAGTTCATGCTACCATTCACTGAATGTTGCATCTGAACAAATTTTCACCCATATACCTATATCATTCCATTTTTGCAAGTAAAGGTTTTGTGATCCTTCTAGCATATGCAACCACCAATATCACTACTTTGTTTGAGATATTTTTATATTTTTGCACAAATTTTCTTTCTAGTTTTGAATTTACTCATCCTTTACAGGTTCTACGCTAATGGGCGACACATTCTATCAGCTGGCCAAGATCGTGCCTTTCGGCTTTTCTCTGTCATCCAGGTTTATCATCTTTTAGCCAGTCTCCTATGAAATTTTGTGTTATTATATATAACCTTTTAATATACTTATCTAGCTTTACTATTTCTTTTGTTCAACTCAGTTTACACCTCCCCCCTCCTTAAAAGAGAAGGAACTCAATGGTTTTCTGCTTGTATGGTTCTATATAGTCTCTTGTGATGCCTGTGGAAGAAATGTCAAAAAAAACTCTGGGGTTTTCTTTTGTTGATTTAGAATTTTGTTGCAAGGGTGAGTAGGGCACTGCCTAACGTCCTATTGTTGTCAGTCACAGCTGGTTTGGCATACACCTGTGGAAGAAATGTGAAATTACTCATCAACGTGGAAAAAGAAATTTATAAAACTAACCCGTAAAATGAGGCAATAGTAGTAGCCACCGTAGCACTTGGGATACAAGTTGGTGCAGCTATTGACGTGGCTGCTTGTCACTTGTCACTTGCCACTTGCTACAGTAGCAGCCAAAGCAAAAGAAAAAAAAAAGGCAGCAAGCATGGTAGTAGCAATGATGAATGAAAGCCATGACAATCAAAAGTAGTAACATTAGTAGTGATGGTGTTCATTCACGATATCACTGATGCTGATTTTCTTTTTGATCAGCTACACTGATGTTTATTCAAAATGGCACTTCTATAGCAAACCATAATTAGCTTAAAGCGGAGTTGTGTCCCAGCAGAAATACTGGTGAAGTTTGGATTTTCTCAAAAACATGGAACAAGAAAACTTACTTAGATTTCCCCAAAAAGGTTGAAATATTATGATAGATGTCAATGCATCTGCTCCATTATGTTTTCAATAGTATGCTCAGATATGGAATTGTGGAGTGTCAAAGGGTTCTCGTCATGTGAAATAAGTTACTGGAAAAAATCTTAATTTCTCAAATCAAGTGATGCTTTTTCTGTGTTTTAGTAAGTAATTGTGAATTACTTAGAGAAACATTTGAAGATGATTTGTCATTGAAATTCCATTTTGCTATGTTTATTATAAGAACTTGGCTGGTGCATTTAATCTTGAATGAAGTGGCAGTACTGACATTTTTATTGCTTTTGGTAAAGCTAAAAAATCTTCTAGATTGCAGACCTCAATTACTAATTTTACAAAATTAGTTTTGGTACCAGTAAAGTATTTTCAGAATGTTAACAAAGGAATTTAACATATTAGGATTTAGCTTACATGTATAACTCTGTGTGTGTGTGTGCGTGTGTGTGCATGGTGAGTGTGCTTAAAACATATTAGTAGAATTTGATCCTTTAGATTTTTTGTCACTGCCAAGAAGCTGCTAAATGTAAATTGGAGATGTAACATATTGATGGTTTCTAATCTTTGAGGTTTTGAAGTTCTAAATTTCTGAATAATAAAAACCTTGGTTTAGGCTTTTAGCAGCTACACATCCACCACTCATCATGTGTTGCACACACTGTTAGTTTGTGAATAGGTTTCAAATTGGCAATATAGCTGCTCTCTCTCTCTCTCTCTCTCTCTCTCTCTCTTTCTCTCACACGCACACACACACATATTTAAATGTATATAAGGCTTATTTTCTCCTTTGCAAAACCCTAGAAGCATTGGATAATACATCATCCTCTCTGTTTATGAACAGTATATTTTAGCTCAAGTGGCATCTTGTGCACTAGAAAAGGTGTGGGATTCAAGTCGAGGTGTGAGCAAAGGAGGTTTAGGACTTGTTACCATGGATGCAAAAGTCATCTTGTTCTCCATAATGACACATTAGGACCTGAACTATCTTCAGAACCGCTAAATTCTTGAAAATTAACCAAACACTGGAAAGTTATCCAGAAGGGACTCCTGATGAGAGTTGTTGCCATGATAGAATAATATGCTAAAGATTTCTAATTTTAAGGCACATCTATCATTTCTAATTTTAGGCTTCACTTGGCCATCTCTTATTGAAATGAGCTTATATTTTTTTTCAGTGGAATATTTGTCTGTGTGCACTTCTCCAAATCTCCCTTTGCTCCCCCTGCTTTTATTCTTCTGGTCTTTGTATTGATTCTTATTGGTTTTTGAATTATTTACTATTCAATTTTTTGATATTTTACTCAATCTGTTCTATGGCCTAATTGTTTTGAATTTTGGCATTAATTTAATTTAATTTATTTGTTATCATCAGGATCAGCAAAGCAGAGAGCTTTCTCAGCGGCATGTATCCAAAAGAGCAAAAAAACTCAGGCTGAAGGTATGATGGGCAACACCTAGTACTTTTATCCCTAATAACATGATCTAGTCTGTCTCTTGTTAAAGCAGCAAAAATTAGTGACTTGATCAATTGACTTTGCCCCTTGCATTGCATACGCAACATATGTTCCAAACTATTCTTGTTTTTCGAAGAGTGAAGTATACATGTAAATTTTATGCAATGGGGCAAGAAATCCCTGTTCTTGACTACTTTTCAGACAGTTTAGACTATAAATAATGCAGCTGGTTTCCTTTTTAAAGAGTTTTTGGATTGGTTGCCACAAATGTAGAGAATGATCAGGTAAAGTATTAGGGACCAAACAAATTTTCCTTTAAAATTTTTGGGTGTCATGATATATATTTTTATATATTTGGATGAAGAACTGTGCTTTTCATTCTCAGTGAACCTCAATACCTCCTGATATGTTATACTCAAAGTGCAAGCAAATGGATTATTCCTACTACCATTAATATTTAGCAACTGTTTTTTGGGAGGTATGACCACCTTGTTTGGTCAGTTTTCAAAAGCTATTTTCTGGCTTCTTGTTTTTCGTTTTTTTTTTCTTTGCCTTTAGTGAATTTTTTTTTTCAGATTTTAGTCTTTTATTTATTTATTTTCTACTTTTTAGATGCACTTAATTTGCATGCGCCTAAAAGGTAAAGTATATGTGAAGAAATTTGGAAAAAATTCAATATAGACAAGAAAACATAAAAATGTGCATAGTTTTTTTGGTCTTTCGTGAACTTTTTGAAGATTTCTTTACATATATTTTACATTTTAGGTGCATCTAGATTAAGTGCATATAAAAAAGTAAAAAAAAAAAAATGATTAAAAAATGAAAAAAAATTTTGAGGACAAAAAACATGAAAAACAAGAAGCCAAAAATAGTTTTTAAAAAACTAAACCAAACAAGATATTCTGGGTATTGCCTTCTATAGAGTAACCTCATTTAACGTTGTAGTCTTTGGTCTCTTGGTCCATGCCCACTAAAAGGGTGTTTTATGTGGACAACATGTATTTGCATTGCTTCGACAATTATGGAAAGAAAGAGTGATACAAGCCTTTAGAGAGTTAAAGTGGACACTGATATTAGGAACTTTGAATCACTGATTTATTGGAATTAGTACTCCTTGATGAGGTTTCCATGTTAGAGGTGGATGGAAACTTTGAATGTTTTACCTTTGTTAAAGGCCTAAATCTTTCAAACTTTTTGTAACTCCCTTCATGCAGAGTATAAGAAGCTCGAGAAAGAGCAAATTCAAAGTAGCGGCGATATTTGGAACTTGGCATGATTTTAAAGAGAAACCGATAGTAACCACATATAATCATATTTATAATATTATTAGTCTTACTTTATTATTATTATTTTTATGTTTCCTAAAATTTTTAAGGTTAAGGGTATTTTGGTGATTTGCAGAATTTCCGAATATGGGTTCTGTGATGGGTCATTTTGTGGGTCAAGTTATTTAAATAATTTTTTTGTTTTTTGTTTCTTATTTAGTTTTAGATTAGTTTTGGAAGTCAAAGATATTATGATAATTCCTTTTTTGGTTATAGTTGATTTAGGAAGTCTCTTAATTCTATATAAAGTCATATAATGCTTATACTTTAATAGAGTTGATATTTTATAAAAATTTGAGAGTTTTGAAGTTTCTTTATGAATTGTGTGATGCAATCAAACCCCAAGTGTGATGACTAAGGGATTCTAAGAGTGATTTCTAAATCAATCTTCTTCTTCTTCTTCTTCTTCTTCTCCTTCTTTCCCTCTTGTATTTTCAGCACTTTTTAACAGCCCAAATACTGTTCACGGATACTGTTCACAGCCCCCTAAAACAATGCCAAAATCCCAGCCTTTCATGCTTAGACTCTTACCCATTATTTACTCTAAACAAACGCTACTTGTCCCCTATACTTTTATTGCAATTTTAGCCATAAAATCCAATTAAAATCAGCCCCAAAGCCCTCTGCTGCCTCTGTTATCATGATCTTACGATTCGCGATTCGATTCGCAATTTTTGCAAAATCGATTCGAATCTATGGGTGAATTTATTTTGGATGAGAATCTCTAGTGAATTGCACGATTTACAATCTATTCACGATTTGATTTACTTTTTACGATTTATGCAATTTTTGAAATTATTGTGTTTGACATATTTTCGACTCTTTTTTTCTCCATCTTTTTTAGTGAAAATGACATAAGACAACTTCTAATAGCGTTTAATACCAAAATAACCAACATATACACATGATTTGTTGCTATTTTAGTGATCATAGAGTTTGTCATAGGATGCAATCAGATTCAGTCAGACCCAACATATTTTTAACATTTCTTTCAATTTTTCTCTTTAAAAAATCATAATATATCTTTTAAAGATGTTTAAGATTAAAGTTACACTATGAATTATCTATTGCTATTCTATTATATTGAATATGATTGAATATTACATGTATGTGGTCAGTTATACCTTTTAAAATGTTTTAGGCTTTAAAATAGAATATTCTAAATAATTATTTCTTATTTTGCTCATTTTTACTTATAAAAGTATGTATATTTATTGTCCAAATATCAATATCGTTGTTAATTATTGTTATTTTGAAAATTGATAGTTTGTCTATTTTGTTACTGCCTTTATTAAGAATGGTTAATAAGAAATATCTAAAAAAGAAAAAAAAGTAAGATGATCTTATATAGGAACTTTTGTTAACTTCTTACCTATTAAACTACGTGATTACATTCAAAATAACATTTTCATTGATTTAAGTCTAAATATTTTATATTCATAAGATATATTTAACATCTAAGTGTGTAGATATATGTTTTTAAGTAATTTAGAAAAAGTGACCGAATCTTTACGATTCATGATTCGATTCAATTCGCAATTCTTTACGAGGCCATTTCGATTCACAGTACGAATCCCTATTTGACAACTATGGCTACTGCCCTAATCGTCTTACATCATCCCTTCCCAATTTGTCTGAGAGATTATTTTTTCTCGTTCAATCTTCTATACGTTGGAATGTCTAATTTTTTTCCTTAGTCTTCGAGTATTGTTCTTGTTAGATTCTACCTATCCAATTATGTAAACATTGACCTAACAATAAATTTTAATTACTTAACATCTGTACTTTATTGTTTACTAAGTGGCACAAACTGTGAGAATATTAGATTTTATGTATATATAGTAGTATATATATTTTGTATATATTAGGGATTGAGTGAATAATTCGTGTTTCCTTATTTGTTCTAGGGTTAGATTGTTATATAAACTAATGTATGCTTGTATTACATACACAATTGAATATATAGTTTCATTTAGAAAACTTACATGGTATCAGTGCCGTGTGCGAAACCCTAGTCTTGTTGGTAGTCGTTTCTCGGTTCGAAACTTGAGTTTGGTTTGTGATTTGAATAACCCATCTCCTTTGTTCGACATCTCTGGTCTCCAAAGTCACAAGAGTACCAGCATTGTGCTCAGCCTCTGTTCTCGCCGTGATCAGCCTTTGTTTTCACCGAAATCGCGACCTAGTTTTCTCTCACTTTCTGGATTCACTTGGTTGTGACCTCCCTCTCTCTCAGACTCGCAAGTGTGATCTCTCTGTCTCTCTCTCTAGTTCGCTAGATCGAAGAGATGTTTGCCCTTGTTCCTCTCGATCAGCTTTGACTTCGACTTTTGTTTGCTCCAGTCCAGTGTCGACTTTGACTCTTGTTTCTCTCTCTCTTTCTAATTCTGCTTGAATGTTTGAGTTTATTACACTGAAACCCTATTCCAGGTTTATTTACACCGCAATATTTCGTAATTCCTAATATTGCAGTTTGCTCCATCAGCTTCTTGTTTATTACGCTTAGCCCAATTGGTTCATTACAATGTCGGATGATAAGATTGCTTGGCCCGAAAATAGGTCACTGGCTTCAGATGAGTATGCCTTCTGCCATCAGAGGGGTTATTGGAAGTATCACTGTCCCAAGAAGGGATGTCTATCTGTCTCGTCTTCTCAGCAGTTTCAGACTTGGTTTTGCCCTTCTTCTCTGAGTAATTTTTGGGCTCCTGTCGCTTATACTGCATCCACTCTGATTCTTGATCCCGACTTGGCTTCCTTGAGTGCTCCGATTGCTCAGTTTCAACATACATTGTCTACCTTCTAGCTCTCCCCGTCTGCATCAGTTGTTCTCTCTTTATTCAGGTTTGCTTGGGTTTTCTTCTAGTATCTTTTCGTCTGTCTGGAATTTTTTACTCTGGTGCCTCTCATCATATGACTCCTTATTTCTCCTTATTTCAAAATTGTACTCCTCCTCCCTTTCCTATTACTGTTAATGCTGTTAATGGGTTTGGTATGTCTGTTATATCTATTGGGTCTGTCCTATCGTCTGGTATGCATGTTGTTTCTATTCCATCTATTTTATATGTTCCTCAGTTATCTGTTAGTTTATTATCTATCAGCCAGTTTGATGCCACCGGTTTTGATGTTATATTTTCTTCTTCTATCTGTTCTGTGCAAGATCGGATGTCCAAGCGGCAGATTGGGACTGACTGTAGAATTGGAGACCTCTATGTGGTGAAGAGCTTGCATCTGTCTATGACTACCTCTCTAACTGTCTTTTCCTCTTTTCAGTTAGATTCTTTGTCAAAACCTTTCTATTTGTGACATTCCAGATTAGGGTATTTGTCTGCTGATCGCCTATAATCTTTAGCTCAATCAGGTATATTGGGTAAAGTTTCTCTTATTCAACTTAACAAGTGTCGGGGCTGTAAACTTGCCAAAATAACAACCTAAACTTTCCATAAAAGTACTTCTATATCTGATATACCATTTTCTTTAGTTCATATTGATGTTTGTAGTCCTTCTCCTATTTTCACTAAAGGGGGTTTTGCATACTATGTGTCATTTGTTGATAACTGCACTCGTTACACTTGGGTTTATTTTACGACTCATTCTACCAGATATATCGTACTTTTCAGTCTATGGTCACTACATAGTTTAGATCTACTATTAAATTATTACGGTTTGACTTGGGTGGGCAATATTTTAAAACTGAGTTCTGTTAGTATTTGGCCAATTTAAGTACCATTCACTAGACTTCCTATACTGATACACTTGCCCAAAATGGTCGCGCTGAACGTAAACATCGTCATCTCCTTGAGACAGCTAGGTCTCTCCTCTTTGCCTCTGTTTTGGGGTGGGCAGTTCTTACTGCTGCTTTTCTTTTCAACTGTATGCTTACTTCCCTTCTCTTTGGTCGGTCTCTTTATGAGGCTCTGTTTTTTCAGCTTCTCAATTACTCTCTTCTTCGTGTGTTTGGGTTTGCTTGTTTTGTCCTGTTACCCCGTAAAGATAGGACCAAACAGAGTGCCTGGTCTGTCTTGTGCGCCTTTTTGGGTTACAGTCTCACCAGTGTTTTTAAAGGCTCAAGGCGCACTAAGGCGCCGAAGGTCTATTGGAGCCTAGGCACAAGGCGCATGGCGCAAGGCGAGGCGCGGGCTTTATTGAAGTAAGGCGCACAGTATTCGTAAAAAATAAAAAAATTAATATAGACTTATCATTCATAGTACTAAGACAATTTTTTTAAAAATAAAAAGTAATCAAGATTCAAGACAAAATATAGAATAATTCTCAAAGCCATGAAAGTGCATATTACATAACATTTCAATTTTCAAAGATCAAATAATCCACATTCAATAAAATAAAAACATAAACACTAAACATCTAAAACATAAATACCCAACAAATACTAATATATGTCTTAACACTTAAAAACATCAATATCAAAAGAAAGGGTAGGTTAGGTCAGTGTCAGTCAGTCATCATCCTCAACATCAATGGCAAGCAAACTATCATCTTCTTCTCCATCAGTTGATTTGTATCCCTCAACATCTTCCTCCTCTGTATCATCTGAGCCCGCTTCCTCTTCATCTATTAATTGAAGTGGAGTCAATGTTGATGATTTAGATATCCTCGGTTGTGCCTTTGAGCGTGAACTTGTTGCTTTACTTGCATGGCTACTTTCTTCTACTCCAGAAGCTCTAGCAACAGTGGCCCACGTCAAGCCATCATCATCATCATCAAACACAGGCTCATTATCTTCATCTGATTCTCCATCCATCCTCCCAAGCAACCACTCATTGCTTTCATCAATATTTTGCAAAGATATGTGATCAAGAGTGTTGCGCATGTCATACCTAAATCTCAATGTTCTATTGTATTTGACATATACTAAATCATTGAGACGTTGTTGTTCCAATCTATTTATTTTCTTGTTATGAAGCTGCAATTATTAAAAAGATATTAAATTCTATATAATGAGAATAAAAAATATTTGAATTGAACAAAAAATTAGTTAGAATGTTAAATACTCACATGTTCGAATACACTCCAATTTCGTTCACAACCCGATGAACTACATGTTAGGCTAAGGACTTTTATGGCAAAAGTTTGCAAGTTTGGAGTATAAGAACCATATGATGCCCACCAATCAGCTGCGATAATCCACTAGTTAGAAATAACTGTTACCAAGTATTGAGTTTTACTAAAAGTATTACTAAAAATAAACTCTATGAGTCTATAATATATTACCTGGTGCTCTTGTATTTCTTTGCCTAATCGCAACAGACTTGCCAAAAAGACTCTCAGCCTTCATATAAATACTCATCTCATTAGTGATCAAATCTTGAACAGTGACATCCGGGACCAACCTTTGCATGCATTCATAAAACCCATTCATCACTTCATGATCTCTTTGCACCTCTAACGCTTTTGGATAAAAGAATTCTGGGTTAAGAAAATGCGCAGCTGCATGTAAAGGTCGATGCAATTGAACATCCCATCTTTTGTCAATGATTTCGAAAATTTCATTATACTTCTCTTCTTTATGATCAAATGAACTTGCAATGCATTCTTTTGCCCTATCCATTGCCTCATAAATGTATCCCATGGGAGGTTTCTTCTCGGTATCAACCAATCTAAGCACTTTGACAAGAGGACCCGAGACCTTAAGGGCAAACACAACAGTATTCCAAAATGAAGGCATCAACAAAGTTTGTGCCATTCTTTTACCTTGTGGCTCCTTTGCCCATTTGCTTGAGGTCCAGTCTTCGGAGGTGACCATCTTTCTCAAATTGTTTTTTTGTTGATGCATCCTAGACAAAGTCAAAAAGGCGGTTGCAAATCTAGTTTCTGCAGGCTTGATCAAATTCTTCAAATTTGTAAAGCGCCTCATCATGTTTAGCAACGTAGGCCGATTGTAAATGTAGCCATGTACTGCAATACCCCTTTCAAATGTCTTTTTCAGTCTAGGTATCTTGAAAATGTCTTCTAACATCAAGTCCAAACAATGAGCAGCACATGGTGTCCAATACAAGTGTTCATACTTAGCTTCCAAAAACCTCCCTATAATGTAACAATAATGAAGAATTATTATTTTCAAGTTTTTAAATTTTAAAATACAAAACAAACTATGAGTAAACAATTTTGATGTAAGGAATGAGGAAATATTCTTACCCGCCAACACATTAGCTGCAGCACTATCAGTGATAACTTGCACCACATTCTCTTTTCCAACTTTCTCCACAAACTTGTCTAGTAATTCAAATAGCTTTTGCCCATCCTTTGAATAGCTAGAAGCATCAACCGACTCAACAAACATGGTTCCTCTTGGACAATTAACTAAAAAATTAATCAATGTCCTTCCTCTCTTATCAGTCCAACCATCAGCCATTATGGAACACCCGTATTTTGCACAATCCTCTTTATGATACTTCATCAAATCTTCAGTATGTTTCACTTCTTTTTTGAGTTGGGTAACCCGCACTTCATGGTATGTCGGTGGCTTCATACCAGGACCATATTGGCCAATGGCTTCAATCATTGGTCCAAAACTCTCATAATTTACTGCATTAAAAGGGATACCAGCATCATACATCCACCTTGCAAATCTTTGCACTGCCCGAGCTCTCATTTCATAACTTTGGCATCTTTTCTTTTAGTTACAGTTATTTTTTTTAAAAAACATATTTGGTTAGAGGGAATGATGGATGATTTGGTACAATTTAAATTGTGTGAGATTACCTTCTCAACCTTTTTATAAAAGGAGAAAGTGTATATCAGGAAGAATATCCAAAAAAAAGGATGGTTTTATGCAATGGCATGGTTTTAACATGTTAAAAGACTAAAAGGTGTAATCTCTTACATTCTGTAGAATTATTGATTTAACTTAGTTATCACACTGAGGATGATCATATCAATAATCCCATATGCCATATTGTTTTATTGTAGATTAATTTATTATTACTCAATAGTTCTCATACTAAATTCAGAATTTGACTACTTCATTCATAATGCTTATCTATTTTTATATATCATAAATGGATGCGAATCAATGACATTGTAACTGCTTGTCTCAATTGGTCTGCCTGGTTGACACCTGTTGAATAGACCTGGTCACTTGATTGGATTATTAATGTATAATGTATGTAATTTAATGTATGTAATGTATGAATTAATTAATGTTATGAATCAATTTTCAATTTTTTTAATTAATGGTGAATTAATTAATTTCAGTATAATGATGAATCAATTTCAGTATAATATAATCATAATAAATGTAAAATATCTATTTTTTTATTTATGTATGTATGTATGAATTAATTTATTTATTTATTTGTTTATGTAATAATCAGGGTTATGAAAGTCAAATAATTGGAAAAAAAAAATTAGTTATTTATTTATCATAATCAATTTATTTATTTATTTATGAATTAATTAATTTATGAATTAATTAATTTATCATAATCAATTAATTAAGTTATTTATGAATTTATTTATTTATTTATTTATTTATTTATCATAATCAAAAGAAAAGAAAAGAAAAAGAAATAAAAAATAAAAACAGATCAGCTTACGAAGGTAAAAGAAAAGAAAAAAAAAAAGAGCAAAAAAATTCATCGAAGACGAAGAAGAAGGAGAAGGGGAGAGAAAGTCGAACCTGCGAAGCCGATCGAAGTCGAACTCGAGCCTGCGAAGTCGATCGAGAACCTGCGAAGTCGAACTTGCGAGAAGTCGATCGAAGTCGAGTCGCAGAGGAAGAGGAAGAGACGACTTCTTTTTTTGAACACAGGTTCGTAATCGATCGATTAGGGTTATCTGAGTCCTATTTGTCTCATATGGTACATGGGTCGTAATCCTCTGTGATTACGAGCCATTTGAAAGGTTATCTGAGTCGTTAGATCAGATCTACGACTTGAACACTGAGTCGCGCCTAGGCGATCGCCTTGCGCCTCTCTCGCTTGGTTCAATTCGCCTCGCCTGGTACCTGTACAGGCGTAGACGCTGAGCCTCGACTCGCCTTGCTCCTAGGCGCGCCTTTGACAACACTGAGTCTCACTCAAAAAGGTTATCACTGTTATGACCTTGTTTCCCGTTGCCTATACGTCTTCCACCATGTTGCCTTTCTTGAATGTCTACCTTACTTTCAATTTCCTCTTCTCGCAGTCCCTGTTTCCAAAGAGGATTTGGTTCATATCGATCCATTTCCTTCTGAGGTCTCTCTTGATGAATACATCTTTGCTGTTCCCCATGAACTTGTTCTCTCTTCTCCTCGTCCCGTCCCACTTGATGAGTCCCTCTTCCCTGACCCCCATGAGTCTGTTTCCTCTTCTCCTCGTCTTCTCCCACTCGCTCCTCCTCCTCCTCCTCCTTTTTCTCCTCCGTTCTTAATCTATTCTCGTTGCAAGGCTCTTCCTCTACCAGTTGTCTTTGCCCTTGCTATTGATCCCCTTGCTTTTGACGACTCTGATCTTGCTAGTCGTAAGTATCCTCTTCGCATCTGTAAATAGGTAGTCAAACTTGGTTTTGCTAAAACATTTTTTTTTCTTTATACTGCACCTTTTTGTCTGCTATTCATTCTTTTTCAGAACCTCAATCTTACAAGGAGGTTTGTTAGGATCCTAATTGGGTTCGACCTGTGGAGGATGAGCTGTCTTCTTTGCAGAAGACTACTACTTAGGAGTTAGTTCTGTTGCGTATTGGCAAAAATTTGGTTGGTTGGTTGCAAATGAGTCTATAAAATCAAAACTCACTGTGATGATTCTCTTGAGCGCTACAAAGCTCACCTAGTTGTCAAAGGTTTCTCCTAGGAGTGTGGTATTGATTATAAGAAGACCTTTGTCCTTATTGTCAAAATGACTATTGTTCGTACTTTGATTTATGTTGTTGTTGTTTGTCATTGGCCTCTTTATCAGATGGTTGTTAAGAATGCTTTTCTCAATGGCCATCTCACTCAGGAGGTTTACATGCGTCCTTTCCCCGGCCTTCCTCATTCCTTTGGACATGTTTGTTGTCTTCGGCGTGCTCTGTATGATTTGAAGCAATCCCCTCGTGCTTGGTATGATCACTTTCAGGTCACTATCACTCAGCTTGGGTTTCATCCTTGTGCTCAGGATTCTGCTCTGTTTCTCCTTCACACATTTACTGGTTTTGTTGCCCTGTTACTATATGTGGATGATTTGATCATCACTGGCTCCGACTTTTCTGCTATCTCTGAGGTCAAATAGCATCTCTTCTGCACCTTCAAAATGAAGGATCTGGGCCCCTTGTGGTATTTTCTTGGTATTGAGGTAGCTTCTTCTCCTAAAGGCTATTTTTTGTCTCAGGCTAAGTATGCAAATGAAGTTCTTCACCGTGTCAGTCTTACTGACACTAAGATTTTTGATACCCCATTAAGCTTAATGTAAAGCTTAAAATTACTGATGGTGTCCCTCTGGATGATCCTACTTCATATCGAAAGCTTGTGGGTTACTTAGTCTATTTGACTGTTATTCGCCCTGATCTTGCCTATGCTATTCATGTGATTAGCCAGTTCATTTCTGCTCCTCGTTCTACACATTGAGCTGCTTTGGTTCGGATTATTCGCTATCTTCGGAGTATTATATTTCAGGACTTACTGTTGTCTTTTATTTCCTCTTTGGACTTGGTGGCTTATGTTGATTTTGATTGGGTTGGTGATGTCATTGATCGCAAGTCCAAGTTTGGTTTCTGTATGTTTCTTAGTGATTCATTGATCTCTTGGAAAAGCAAGAAACAAACTGTTGTTGCTCGCTCTATTGCTGAAGCTGAGTACCGTGCTATTGCTCATGTTACTGCTGAGATTGTTTGGCTTTGTTGTCTTCTATCAGATTTGGGTGTATCTCAGTCTTCTCCGACCTCTCTCTGTTGCGACAACTGTAGTGCTATTTAGATTGCCCATAACACTGTCTTCCATGAGAGGACGAAGCATATTGAGATTAATTGTCACTTTGTTCGTTAGCATCTGCAGTCTAGCTCTTTTTCACTTGCTTTCGTCTCTTCGGCTCTGCAACTTGCTGAGTTCTTCACCAAGACTCACATCACTGCTCGGTTTCAGTTTCTTTTTGGCAAACTCTCAATGTTTTCTGCTAAAACACCTTGAGTTTGAGCAGGGGTGTGAGAATATTAGATTTTATGTATATATGGTAGTATATATATGGTAAATATTAGGGATTGAGTGAATAATTCGTGTTTCCTTTTTCGTTCTAGGGTTAGATTGTTATATAAACCAAAGTATTCTTGTATTACATACACAGTTGAATAGACATTTTCATTTAGAAAACTTACACAAACATGGACATGTGACATGATATAAACATGTGACATGATACAAACATGCCGAAAATGGCAATTTTCAATTAGGCAAGACATGATATGCCTATGAAAAGTGTCATTGAAGTATCCACAAGATGTCGCTAAAATGTCTGATATTATGAATTCAAAATTTTAATTAAGGCACGTTGAAGTAGTGTTGACACTTTTATGAGTGTCCATAGAATTTCGGTGTTCAGCACGTGTCCAACATGGCACACCTCCTCTGTAGAAGTGTCCACGCTTCTTAGATTGTATAGTTATAGATTATTGTGTACACATTTTTGTTGTCATCTTGTAGTTCACTATCACTAATGCTTTCATTTTCTCCAAGTAAGATCTACAAATGACTTGGGGGTTGAAAATTTTCTTATATGACTGCAAAGGCAATCACTAGAGAACTAGAGTGAACTTATTGTTTGAGAACGAATGATCTGTTCTTATGTATACTAAAGAACATGTACCTCACTGAGCACAGACAAAATCTGACATTTAGAGCCACACTCCACACCTATACCGAAGTTTATAAACACGGTTCCTGATTTCAGTTTTACTAGATTGCTATATAATTCATATTTAATATGAAGTCATATCTGTTCAATTTCCCTAAAAGTGCTTGAGAATTGTAGACTTCATGTAAAGTTTCTGTTTTATGTTGCACTGAGTGCTGTCGTAATTAAACGCTGTGCCATCAAATAAGTAAAGTTTTTCTTTTGCTTATATTTCAGGAGGAAGAGATAAAATTAAAGCCTGTCATTTCATTTGATGTTGGTATGACCTCTCTTTGTGTGCCATTCTTCTCATGGATGTATGAATTATTGCAGAAGAATTCTAGAACTATATTCATTAATTTTCTATTTAGTTCTTTGTTTTATGTTTTAGCAGTTAATCTTAGTTTGATTTCATTGTTATATTTCCGTTGTTGGGTTGTTCTGGTGGCTGAGTTTGAAACTCACAATTGTCTTATGTGTTATCCTTTCCACATTGATTCTTCTGGTGTTTTGTTTTATACTTTTTATTTTATTTTATTTTATTTTTCAAGTTTTTTGTTTTAATCAAGAATGCTTTCTTATTGGGTTCCTGTATTTCCTGCTATGCCACTATTTCACTTTAACATTGTAATCTCAGTTCTCATTTAAATCTTTTTCATGGACATATTCTTTGACTGTGGAGGACGTATTAGATAGCATGTCTTGATATTCAGGAAAGGCTAATCAGATGCTTTATGTCAAGCTCAGTGTGCTGCGTCAGACTTTAATAGCCAGTTGTAATCGACTTCTCTCTGAACAGGCGGGTGAAGAAGATAAATTCATCCAAAATTATCTTTTTGTTTCTCCTAGTTATCCTGAATTCCTGATTGCGTGCCTCTCATTTTGATCAATGCAAGCTGTTGATCTTTGTCTCTTCCTCTGGGAAAGTTGCTGAAAAATTCTTTCAATTTATTTTGCTGGTGTTGTTGAATTCTGCCTGTGATCTATCCATTTTGTTCTCCCCTCTAATTCAACTCCAATAGTCAGTCCACTTTTATATTTGAGTTTAAACCTCCTTTCTTTTGAATCCATCAATCTAGATACCATATTTTCTTGGATACCAAACCTTATTGAAGGTAATTTAAAAATATCTTTTTGATATTTATTTTTACCAAATTAGTTTAGTTTCCATTTTTTTTTAAAAATTTCTGATATATATATTGCGGAGAAACAAACCAAACAAGGCCCTAATATCAGTTTTATCTGTTAAAATTGAGGTTCTTAGTAGTCTGGTGCAGTCAAAGGGAATGAACTAGAAGTTATCGTCTAATATTTTCTGGTTTTTGTTTGATTTGTGGTCCAGCTGTTTGAAGTTAATGGTTTTGATCTACTCAGTCAATTGTTTATATTACAATGTGGCGGGAGAAATTGTTTTTTTTTAAACTTTAAAAACAGATAGTGAATGGAGGATTCTATATAACTTGTTTTGTAATTGTCAAAAATGAAATATCAAAAAAATGAAAAATTAATTATCAAACACTTCAGATTGTGCATTGGTAACACTCTATAAATTGATGAAGTTTAAGTTATTGTCAGCAAATTGAATACTTTTCTTGGGCTATGAGAGAATTTTATTTTTACTCTTAATTATGGGTGCAAAACTTTCATCAGTAAGGCAGAGGGATTTTCACTTGTTTAGTAAATGATTGTGCAAATGCCGATAGCTAATTTCTTCCACTCTATATGTGAAGTTGTCCTCTATGTTTTCTGTTCATAAATGATCTGATTTTGTTCCTTGATTTTTCCTGTTAAAATAATATTAGCTGAAATAAGGGAGCGTGATTGGTGCAATGTGGTTACATGCCATATGGATACTGCGCAGGCATACGTATGGAGGCTTCAGAATTTTGTTCTTGGAGAGCACATCTTGAAACCATGCCCAGAAAATCCGACGCCAGTTAAGGTAATATTTCAGTTTATCCTCTCATTCTTAATTAAGCTGTCTGGAAAAATTCTCGTATCATTCTCACTATTATTTCATTGTATGCTACAGCAACTATCTTTTCTTTTGATTTTGTTAGTCAAAATTTTCCCACATTAAATTACTAAATATTGACAAAAGAACTTGTCATGTTTTTCATTGATTTTTTTGCCACCCAATGGCAGTGTTGGTACTGTTTCTGAAGTTTGGAAAGTTGAGGTAAACCACTTAGATAAAGTTACATTTAATTAAATTTGATCTCTTTTATTTCATGATAGGCCTGTGCCATCAGTGCCTGTGGCAATTTTGCTGTACTAGGAACAGCTGGTGGTTGGATTGAGAGATTTAATCTCCAATCGGGAATCAGCCGAGGCAGTTACATGGATATGTCAGAAAGAAACAGCTGTGCCCATGACGTGGAGGTGGTTGGTGTTGCCTGTGACTCAACAAATACCTTGATGATAAGTGCAGGATATCATGGGGATATAAAGGTACATATTCATTGTCTGAAAATATGATTCTGTATGCTCTTTTATTTTCAAGTGCATGAGATCTCTATATTCGTAATTTTGCTTTATGCATCTTAAACCATTTAACCTAGTAGTGTCTCTAAATAGCTTATTTCTATATCCTATCTGCAAGTTATGTCATGATCAGCATGATACTGTTTTAGAAGCATGGAGTGACCATGATAAGACTGAGGTATATTCTCACCATTAGAAAGGGATGGTGATCATTACATCGACAACTTTCTATCATTTTTTCTAAGAAAGTGGTAATCTAAGAAGCATGGACACGGATGCGGATACGGGATACGGTGATTTTAAAAAAATGGGGACACGGACACGCGGACACGACAATAAAATATGTTTTCATATATTTTTATTTGCTATCTAGATTAATATTACATCCACAAACAATTAATATTGACAAAAACTAATTCTAATTCTATATTTATATATATTTTTTTAATTAAAAAAAACACTTTTAAATTAACACTTACAGTTTATATATATATATTTTTATGGATGATCTATTAAGTATGCAAATCTAAGAAAAAAAATAATAAACATTCAACATTCATCAAAAGTACTAAAGAAAGTGGGGGAAAAGACAACTTCCCGTCCCTAGTGTGTCCCCGAAGTGCTCCCGGCATATTCCCTGAAAATAAATTAATTATATAAGAGGACACGCCACATGGTGTGTCCCATACATGTACCCGCCGTGTCCGGGTGTCCCTACCGTGTCTGTCTCCCCTTGCCGTGTCCGTGTGTCCGACATAGATATGACACGTGTTTTGAAGTGTCGGTGCTTCATAGGTGGTAATTATTGGTAGGGACACTTTGGGAGCACAATTTTGTTTTTTCCTAATTTCTCTCTTTATGTACAGCCATAAAAAATTGAGGGAAGATTGCAAAATGTCTTAGAAGCTTTCATCTATTTTGTGAGACACCAGTCTTTTTTCCCTCGCTTTTTTGTTACGAGAAACCGAAGGATTATTTTTTAATATAAATTTTAATTCTTGAGAAGGGATACATTGGATTTTCAATATGTCACCGTAATTTTTCTAATTTTAATAATACTCATGACCATATTTGATTGTTAATACGATATATAAGGACTGCTACTACAAAGAGTATAAGTTATAATTGTGTCTTTAGTTGTGAGTTGTCACAAAGGTTTTACCTAATGGTAGCATGTTAGTTGTTTGTCCACGTGAAATGAGGCACAATTTATAAATTCATTTTATTATAAAATAGTATTGATATTTGATTAAGCATGCATGTTTGCATCCATTCTTCTCTGCTGGGTTATTTTTTCGCTAGATTTATTTATTTTATTTTAAAATTTTTAATTTTTATGCAGGTATGGGATTTCAAGGGACGTGAGCTAAAATCCAGATGGAAAATTGGTTGTTCTCTGGTGAAGATTGTTTATCATCGCTCCAACGGTATTGTCTATTTTCCTTTATTTATTTATTTATGTTTTGGTAAACACCCCTTCCCCCAGTCAAAAAAGAATAATTATAATAATGTGAGAATAATTTTCTGATATACTGTTTAAAATTTCCAGGTCTTCTGGCAACGGTGGCAGATGATTTAGTTATCCGTTTATTTGATGTTGTGGCATTAAGAATGGTTCGTAAATTTGAAGGTCATACAGACCGTATTACAGATTTGTGCTTCAGTGAGGATGGCAAATGGCTTTTGTCATCTAGCATGGATGGGAGTCTTAGAATTTGGGATGTCATTTTAGCAAGACAAATAGATGCTATACTTGTTGATGTTTGTATAACTGCATTATCTTTGTCACCAAATATGGATGTTTTAGCAACGACTCATGTTGATCAAAATGGGGTCTATCTGTGGTAAGTTTTTGTAAACCCAGCTTCATTTTCTATTCGAGTTTGAGATTCTTTGGTTTCATTTGAAAGGTAGTTTAGTGAATACCATTGGGTAAGCTAATGTTATAAATCACAATTTGGATGAAGTTTTTGAAATTTGTCGAAATAAATAGTTATAATAAGTATGTGTTTCAAAAAGTACTACATGATCAAAGTTTTGAGTTTCTGGCATGTAATGTGGAAAAATTTTCTTGGGGCCACTAGAAACTTGACAACTTGTAAATTTATCAGGGTTAATCAGGCAATGTTTACTGGAGCTTCTAATGATGAGTCCTATGGAAGTGGGAAGGAAATAGTGAGTGTTAAGTTGCCATCTGTCTCTTCAATAGAAGGTTCTCAAGATAATGATTCTGATAAACCTATCATAACCCCCTCAAAAGTGGCCCACAAGTCTTCAGATCAGCAAATTCCAGATCTAGTGACTCTATCACTATTACCTAAGAGCCAGTGGCAAAGCTTGATCAATTTGGACATTATAAAGGTTCTTCCTGCTCCCTTTTTATTTGTATTCCTAATCAAATTCTTATGCTTTCTCAGATCGAATGATAACAATTCCACTTTATTTAATTTCTATATTTGCGGACAAATTCCAGGCTCGCAACAAACCAATTGAGCCTCCAAAGAAACCAGAACAGGCACCATTCTTCCTGCCTTCAATACCATCTCTTTCGGGAGAAATATTGTTTAAACCTATTGAGTTAGCTAATGAAGAGAAGAATAGAGAAGCTGGTAAACTTGAAAAAAAACAGACACAAATTGATTTGGTGGCATCCAAATTCGTGCAACTTCTTCAGTCCTCAGCAGACACGGAAAATTGTTAGCTTTCTAGCTAAGATATATTTGTACTTTTAATTTTGTGAGTTTAGTGAAGTTAATTGTTCATTTACATCTAAAACATCGTTTGGACTTGCAGTTTTGGCATTCACTGACTATATTAAAAGTTTATCTCCGTCAACTTTGGATGTGGAACTTAGAATGCTTCAGATTATAGATGATGATGATGAGCAAGAACTTGATAAGAGACCGGAGTTCCATTCTATTGAACAGCTGCTGGATTATTTCATTCATGAGATCTCCTGCAGAAATAACTTTGAGTTTATACAAGCACTCATTAGATTGTTTTTAAAGGTACACAGTTAGCAATACACTTTTGCAAAGCCTTAGAATGTAAAAAATCTGCCATGCCAAATAAATTTTGGAGAATACAGATTGGTCTATCATTTTGAGGTGTTTGCTTCCTTTAGTATTCTGCACAATTTGTGAATTTCTGCTAAATCCAAGCTGTTTCTTTTCTGCTTTTGTTTGACATCTCTATTTCTTGTGTCCAGATCCATGGTGAAACAATTCGCCGACAGCCAAAGTTACAAGATAAGGCACGAAAGCTTCTTGATATTCAACGAGCAGTATGGCAAAGAGTTGATAGGTTGTTCCAGAGTGCTAGATGCATGGTTTCATTTCTCAGCGACTCTCAGTTTTAAGTATTTTCCATTACTTTTTCTTGTTTGTTGTTTAATTTTTGGCCAATTTTGGTTCCTTGTTCAATTTTAGCATTGTTTTGTTTCTTTGTCCAATTTTGGCATTGTTATTTGGTCTGTTCAATTTCTAAATTAGTTAACCTTGCACACCTTTGAGGGTAAAGGTATTGCAGAAGGCAAAGTTATTATAGAAGTGAGAGCTTATTTATGGCCTCTTGATTTAACTAACCTGTCTCTTCGCAATCTGACAAATAGTATATGTAGGAATTGAATTAGCATGCAGATTAAATTTGACTGAAAGGGCCAAGTGCTTTCCACATTGTTTGAAGTTCTAGACCGGCAATGAAATTCATTCACAAGCTTCTAGTTTTGCACAAAAGTAAATCAGAAGGCATTGTTGGTGATGTTGGTCTCTCTCTCTCGCTTTTTTTTTCGGTCTCATTTTCTTGGCAGTCTTTTCTCGATCAGACTCCTTGGCTCTGACAAAGGAACTTGTCCAAAACCAGAGATTTTTGTTGTTGTTGTTCTGGACTTGGCAGAGCCTGGGGTGGATGGAATCGTATAATTCAAAAATGTTAGCGGTCACATCATTGAAGGGATGGCACCTGAAGGTTGTTTAATTAATGATTTAGAGAATCACCCCTTTTACCTTGTTGGTTCTGTGGTCAAGGCCTGTGAGGAAAGAACAAATGCTTATGTTTGAAGGAGTGTTTGCGCTTAAAATAGGTCTTTCTTCCAGAGCTAGCATATATCCTATGGCAGGTGAGAATTGGGAAAGAGTTTCGCATTGGTTTTCCAAATTTTTGGAGGAAGATATCATAAAATTTGCTGTTAGAGGGCTCTCTAGTAATCCAACTTCAAATGTTGGAAGAGGAACACATGCTATGAACATATCAAACTGAAATTACCACTGGCGGGTGGTGGCTTGGTGGTGTGGGTTTATTCCATGTGGTTTGGTGATCAGGACATAAGTTGCAGTCTTTGGGGCGATGCTCCATGGTTGAGACTCTTGTCCATTAATCTTGGGCCACTGGCTCCTTGTCACTCTGTCACTGAGATTGGGTGGTTTAAGCTCGGCTTGAGGGAGCATCTGTGGATCCTCTGAGTTGCATTACCCTTGCTTTGGTGGGCTTGTTTAGGCCACTTTGGTTCCCCATTGGGTGGGTGCTATTGTTGTAATGCTCAGGAAGGGTTGCCTCGCCTTGGGAGGAATGGGTGAGGGCGGGTCGGGTTTGTGATGTCATGTGCCTGCCTTGTGCCCTCTTGGGAAGGGGATGGAGTAGGGAAAAATGGGTAGGTGGTGGAAGCAGAGAGGCATTGGAGTAATTTGTCAATTAGTATATCATTTGTGTCGTTTGGATATTAACTTCTGAACAAAAACAAAATGTTCTAATATCAACTTCTAAACAAAAATCAATTCTTCAAATATAATCTTGTTCAATAGTAGATATCCGAATATTTGTGTTTTGTTTGAAAGTTGGTATTTGAATGGTACAAATGCTTTGTACTGAATGTGATGTGCAAATAGAATCACCCAAGGGATGTAGGATGGTTGGCAATTTGCCATCCCTTTACTGGGAGCACCTTTTTTGATAGTCCAGTTAAGCACAAGTAGAACCTTTTCCATGTAAGTTGGTGTAAGCACTTAAAATTTTTTTGTATATAAAAGCAAGATCAAGTTTGTGTGTACAATGTGTATCAGAGCATGTTGAAGAGCTAATATCCTCCCAAGGCAATCACATGAATTGCAAAAAATTGATGGGCCCACCTAGGGGATGATAATGAGAATGAGAATGATGCAATTCAGTTGGAAGTGAGCTGAGTTGTCGTATGTTCAAATTTGTTTCAAAACATTAACAAGTTCAAAAAAATGTGTTCAAGTTTGTTTATATTTTTATTTTATTATTATTTTTAATCTTTTTGAGTTAATTTCAAATGAATTTTGATCTAACAATAATTGAGTAGCTTGATTTTTATAACACAAGCTTATCGAGACAAATTCTAGTCAAGTTAAGAAAATTAACGAGTTTTAAAATGTCTTCCAGTTTGATTTGTTTATACAAGCAGCATATTTCAAAAAAAATTTCAACAATTAAATATGAGTTGAGCTCGAGAAATCGTTTTAGAACTCTACATTTAGGTTTTTAAAAAATGGTCTACACTCCAAAGATAAAAAGAATTTAGGAAGGATTCACACTCCTTCAAATGTCTCAGAAATTGGAACATTAGCATTGAAGGTCAAAACTTCTCACTCAAGTTCCAATGTCACTACAAGCACACTTCACCCTCAAAGCTTACAAAAAAGAAAATAAATCTATCTAAAATTTTCTGAATGCTTTTTTCATTTTGAGTTGTTGCTTATATAGAGAGTTGAATCTAGATTTGAAATTATTTGATATTCGAAGAAATAAGAGTTCTGATCAGATCACATGGGATGTTTGATGTAGAATTTACTTTTGCTTTGATGAAGAATTTATTTTTGCTTTTCTTTTGCAATGTGGTGGGCATCCTTATTGTTTTCGGCATCTTCACTTTTGTAAGCTGTCAGACATCTTCACTTTTGTAGTTTGTCTATTTGTGAAAATTATTGTAGTCGCAGATTATTGAGGTCAATTAAGAATTAGAAAGTAATGAATATGGAGTTAAGATTAGTTTAGTAACTGTGACAAGTAGTTTACCTTGCCATGAGAGAGAGAGAGAGAGAGAGAGAGAGAGAGAGAGAGAGAGAGAGATCATGAATCATGGAGGCCAATTTTGATATTGATAAGAGAAGGCCAATGACAGCAAAGTATATCCCCATCACCACCACTCTCAAGCACTAGAGTGCTTGTAAATAAAGTATTATAATAAATCCATAAACTGAGAAATTTCTCTATGCCAGTCTCCATAGTTTTCCCCAAGAAGTGGGAATCACGAGTGACAAAGTTTGAGCTGCAATGCCTATTCTTGAATAATCATTGTTTCATGCACTTTACAATCATTGGTTTAGGAGTTGTAAACCCTGCCGATTCAATGTTGTCCAATGATGGTTATGATACTAGTAAAGGCAAGGCAGCTCGTGGGCAGCTCGTGCTGAGAATGGTGTGAAATTTAGTCAAGACATGGAAAATGTGGTAAGGATTAGGAACCCTTGCTTTGCCATGGACTCTGATGGATTTAGGCGAGAATTCTAACTTCAGTATGTTTATTTTTCTTTCTATTACCCAAATACTCATTTTTCCATTTTTTTTTTTTGTAATTTTCTTATTTCCTTTGATTTTGTTGTGTCAATTAATGAACTATCTTTATTCGACTATTTCTTAATAAGGTTAGGGTTTAGTTATTAGAAATAATGGTTGTAAGCCTTTATGGCTCTTCGGTTGATATTGATTAATACAATTTTGTTGAGAAAAATCTATTATTTTCTCTATAATTCTAGTAATCTTTGTATTCATCACGTACAAAAGTTGCAACTTTCTTCGCTGTGCGATTTTGCTATTGTTCACATTTTTATGTTGTGTCAAAGATGATGTTGAATTTCTTTTTCCTGCACAGTTTTTATTGATTTCAGTGTCAGCAAAATGGTTTATAAAGATGAGGACCAAAAAAACAAAAAAAAAATACAAACTGGTATTTGCATATTAGACTTGTTCCAAACATGACTATATGAAAACTAGGGACATGAGTAATGACGCACAACATAAAATTATTTTTTTTAAGACATTTTTTCTGATTTTGTGCTCCATGGTTACAACTGCATTAGTAACCCCAATGACAACACGTGCAAATCATATCAATCACTCAAATTTTATATAAAAAACAAGGGCCAATTAGTACACATTAATGTGCGTTTGGAAAGGGAAAGATTGGATACACACCTAATCTTTGGCATAGTGCACAAAGTGGTTGCCCTAAGAGGTAAAAAGGAATCATTCATTTTTGCAGAATGAAGAATCTCCAATTGACTACAGAAATCCATCCATTTTATTCAGAAAGATTTCACTTTTCCTCCTATCACATAAGCATTAATACTGAATAGAATACAAAAACTACACAAATTCAAATCAGCAAGAGAGTATATCACAGAGCAGGAGGCTAAGTCCTGTACACATTTGGAAGATTTCTGCACAAGTCTGATGCAATCACTCCAAAAAACCTTCTAAGTTCTAAGAGTAAATCAAATTTCCAAAAAAAATAAAATAAACTACCGTTAGTGACGTTGCTTTCTGTGGCGCATTGCTCCTCTATTTCTCGCCCATGGTAATCTGTAGACAATTTTATCCACAAAACTGAGGTATGCATCACTCCAAGGTTTTCTGCTTGCCAAAACTAAACATGGAACCAAAAGTCCTGCAGCAAATCCCAATCCAACGCTCAAGTAAAACCACTGATCAATGAACCCATCATCATTATGATCATTCTCCACACTCTCATTCCCTTATCTGAATCTGAATTTGAACACGTAACTGTAAGAGGAACTCCACAAAGACCAGGGTTTCCATCAAAACAGGACTCATCAAAAGTCGACATTTGCCCTGTGTCTGGGATCATACCTGTCAAGTCATTGTTTGACAAATTTAAATAACCCAGGAATGATAGCGAAGACTTGCTTGGAGGAATTGCACCTGAGAGCCTATTACTCGATAAATCAAGAGATCCCAATTGTTGCAAACTTGAAATGCCTTCTGGAATTTGGCCACTGATTTGGTTTCTTGACAAGTTCAAAACCACCAAACCTGTCAACTTTGTTATTTCTACCGGGAATTCTCCATATAAATTGTTGCTCGACAGGTCTATTCTGATGACGAGGGAAAGTGTCTTGGTATATTTTTGAAACTTGCCTTTTGTATTCACAACCAAGCTTTCTTCATAATACCGACCCCTGTACTTTCCATAGAACAGATACTTGGTTACTTTTTGCTCTCCGACCATGGCTTTTAGGTCACCCAAACTAGCTGGAAACTGGGCAGTCAAGTTGTTTTCTGCAAGGTCAAGGACTTGCAGTGAACTTAAATTTGAAAGCCCAGAGGATAGTCCTCCGGAAAAAGCATTAGACCTCAAGCTAATAATTCTAAGGTTAGGAAAACCATTTCCAAACCACGGTGGAATGTGACCCGATAACTTGTTATTTCCAAGATCCAGAGTTTCAAGGCTGGATAAATTTTGAAAGGATGATGGGATCTCTCCAGTAAGCTTGTTGTTACTCAGGTGCAGTGATTGGAGCTGTTTTAGCTCACCCAAAGTCCCCGAAATCACCCCAGACAAATTGTTGTTTCCAAGGTCTAGAACCTTCAAATAAGTGCAATTCCATATGCTAGAAGGAATGCTTCCTGTTAAGTGATTACTCGAGAGACTAATGACTTGAAGATACGACATTTGTCCTATGGACTCGGGTATTTCTCCACTTAGTTGGTTACCAGAAAAAGATAGAAAGATCAAATCTGGCATAATGTTGCTTATATTGTGCGGGATGGAACCGGAAAAGTGATTGTTGGAGAGATCTAGCAACTCAATTTGGACAGTAGGAAGAGGAATGGGTCCTTCAAAGAGGTTAGAGCTGAGATCGATATCTGCAAAGGCGGTTACACTGAATTGATTTGGAAGCTGACCCTTTAACTGATTAAAAGAAACATTTAACAGTGATAGATTAGAAGAGATGTCCCAAAACCAGCTTGGTAGAGAACCTGAAATGCTAGTGTTGGGCAAATTAAGAAATTGAAGCTCCTTTTGAGATTTAAGCCAAGCCGGGAATGAAGGACCTAATTGGCATGAACCCATGTCAAGATTGATGACCTTGAATGGAGGAACCCAATTAGAACTGACATTCAAAACAAAAGAATTGGATGCCAAAGTTAGGATCTTGAGCTTGCTTAGCGTTGCAAAATGTGTTTCTGAGATAACACCGGTCAGCTGATTGTAAGAGATATCAAGGGTATGCAACTCAGAAAGGTGCCCAAAACTCACCGGGAGAGTCCCATTTAGTTTGTTCCCTTCCAGTCCCATGTCAGTTAGATTTTGCAGTGTCCCTAAAGAAGCCAGGATAGGACCTTCAAGCAAATTATTGCTCAACCCAAGTCCCACAAGATTTTCAAGCTGACCCAACCATTCAGGCAATTTACCAACTAGCTTATTGTTACTCAATTCCAAGTGCATCAAATTAGGCAAAGGACTCTTAGTACCGCAGTTTTCAATCCCTTCAAGAAATTCAGGTAAACTTCCTGTCAAGTTATTATCCATTAAATCGAAATTCCTCAAATTGCAAAGTCTACCAATGGAGCTTGGAATTCCACCCTCAACATTATTTAAGAAAAGCAGAAAGTCAGTAAGAAATGTCATGTTTCCAATCGAAGAAGGTAGTTTCCCATGTACTTTATTTGAAGCTAAACTAATAACCTCTATTTTTCCCCAGCCTACCCTGAACAGTTCTTCGCAACCGGCACTTAGGTTATTGTTCATATCAAGATTCAAGTATTTTAAGCTTGGAAGCTCGCTGAAACCAAGAGGAATCCTTCCTCGCAGCGTGCTACTGGTTATATCAACATAGACAAGGCTACTAAGATTTGCAAACCAATCTGGGATTTCTGAATTGAAGCTATTAAAACTAAAATCCACTACAGCAAGTGAAGTAAAGTTAACAGAACTAAGAGAAAAAGCAAAACTGGATAGACCACATAGAGAAAGGTGAAGCTCGGTTAAACATGAAAGTGAGTTTAGTACCTCAATCCAGTTTGAGCCCACCATTGAAAGGTCGACTCCATTCATCTGAAGATGTTTCAGCGAAACAAGACCGGTCACCCATTGAAGACTATCAACACTCAAGAAATCATAAGAAACATCAAGATATTGCAGGCTAGAGAGGTTTCCCAAACTTGGAGGAATTTTCCCAATAAACCCAGCTTTAGACAGGTTTAAATATTGCAAATTTTTCAGAGAACCAAAAAAACTAGGAATTGGGATGTCTTGAAATGTGAGGGAACTCAAATCTAGGTGTTTCAAGGACTTGAGTTGTAGCAAGGAAGGTCTAATCTCTCCACTCAAGTTCCAAAATCCAAACCTGGTAGCAGAATCAGAACCTAATGGGTATGGGTTGCGAAGATCAATTGCAATGACAGCTCCAGTACTATTATCACACCCGATACCCCGCCATTGACAGCAGTTGCTTCTGCTCTGCCATGATGAAAGCCGGTTGTCAGGATCATTTAGGCCATTCTTGAAGTCAATGAGGGCTTGAAGATCAGGTTCGGAACAATTCATGAGATGGGTATTGCCATAACAAACAAATTCTGTTGCTATTGAAGAAAGAACAACCATAACAAGACCAATGACTGGTACTCTCTCCATCAACTTTCAAGCAATGAATGGTGAACTAACCACTATTATGATGTATGAACCATGGAAGTGACTCTCTCTCTATATGTGATTGGATTTGTATTTTCTTGATGAGCAAGAGTTGAAGAGAATTTTTCTGGGGAAAAAAAGTCAATGAGTTGTACATATTTTAGAAGGGTTTTATATAATGTATGAGGTGTTTTGATTTTCTTGATGAGCAAGGTGATCACTTCATCCTTAAGAAGAGTTCAAGAGTGAACATTCATGGAAAATAACATTCATGGGTATGAACAGAGGGAAAAATGATTTTATTTTTGGATTAAGTCAGAGGTATACATATTTTAGAATATTTGCAATCTTTATGAAAGAAAAAATGAAGGTTGATAGGAATTTAAAATTAGAAAAACTGTGGAATACCGACAAATGTTAGTCATATTATAATCAAATTGGCATAGCAAGTTTTGACTCGTAGCCTATTAGAGTAGAAGAAAATGATCATAGTGGTGAGGAAATGGGTTGGTAATGGGGTACCATGTGCACTTGGAATTTAGTCAACAATTTGGGAACATGTTAAAAAAACAGTAGTGATTTAGACCCCTTCAAACTTTAATCCCCATCACCCCCTACACACACGTGGCGGGTGGTGATTGGAGGAGGAGAAAAAAAAGAAAAAGAAAAAGTGACCAATCAAAAAAGAAAGGGGGTCAAAAGGGGGTGGGGGAAAGGGGGTCCCAATCTTTATTCTTAAAAAAATTAATTTTTTAATTTTTTAATTTTTTACACAAAAAAAAGTCATAAAAAAATTATTAAAAAGCTAGTTTTTTTTAGCCTAAAAAGTCACAAAAAGTCAAAAAATTAATTTTTTACCCACTTCCCAAAACACTACGTTGTCTCACATTGCGTTTGCAGTGCTACATAACTATTAGGCTGCTCTAATTCACTTTTCACTATTTCCATTCTGTTATAACATATTTAATATAATTATAATAATTCATAACAAATATCACAATATATAGTAATTTTTTCACCAAAACCATTCACAACATTTCTATCACTAAATTTATGGTAGCAGTTTATTTTTATTTTTTTAAAAAACAAATGTGATCTTGTTACGTAATTACATATGTCCTGCTTCCACCATGCCTCCCTATCACACCACCCATTAAATTGATTTTTTTCATGAATAAATTACTTGACGAAACTTATAATACGAATGATTTGAATAATCAAAAGTGACTCGAATAAGCCCGCGTAAAGGCTCATGTTATACTGTTGTGCTTTATCTCCAAGGTCATTTTTTCTAACATTCTGAATCAGCACATTTTTGATGATGTCAAATCACCTATGATTTCATATTTTTGTAGAAAACATAAACACAATAAATAATGGGAATTACTATTCTCATTTTATTTTGTTTTAAATACATTTTTTTTTATCTTTATTATATATAGAATATAATATATTAGAATAAAGTAGAGTAAAAATAATATTTAGAGTAAAGTGAAATATGAATAGTAATTATATATAATGAAGACCAAAAAAAAAAAAAAAAAAAAAGTGTAGTTAAAGGAAAATGTAGTAGGAATAACGGCTCCGTACAATAAATAAACTTGTTACTAATTTTGATAACCAAGTGAAGAAGGTGTATTACTTTTTGTAATTGATATGAAATTTTTCATGACAAAGAAGGAAGTGGAAAAGGTGCTGTAAAGCACTTACTTTTCTGTTTCAAAATATTAATTTTTTATTTTCTTAAAATTTAAGTTTTTTTTTAGAATTAAGGATTAAAATAATATGATTTTTATTTTTTTCCCTTCTTTTAAATTTATTAACAATATAAAAAGTACAATTATGACAATTGATATTTTTTAAAAAATAAACTTTTTTTAATACTACAATTTTTGCACTTTACAAATATTAATTTCCCGAAGGATAATTTTGATAGTACTATTAAAGGATAATTTTGAAAAATTAATATTTTTAAAGTGTAATAATTGTACTATTAAAAAAAATTATTATTTTGAGACGGAGGGAGTAAAACGTTTAATAAGTGGGACACTTCTTGGGCTTTAGGCGAGTTGACGTGTAATTTATAATTAAAACTTTTTAAAATTTCAATATTTTTCTGTCGGCAGTGCTACATAGCTCGAAAGCTACCCCCGAATCTCCTTAAACCCTAAACGACGCCGTTTTTGTTTTGTTTTGTTTTGTTTTGTTTTGTTTTTTTTTTTTGGCAGAAGAAGAAGGAAGATCAGAGAAGGAAGAGGAGGAGAAGGGAGGATGTCACGACCCCAAACCGCCCCTCGTAGGATGGTGCCGTGATGGCCAGTAATCCGAGATTACCGAAGGCCAACTTTCAAAATTCACACACAAACAAAGTATAAATATATGGGGCTCACAAGTACGGAAGCAATACATATAAATCTAATGAAATGACATACGTCTTCACATGGGTTACAACTTAGTTACAAATGAAGTAAAGTACAAATTACATCTTGATTAAAAGGCTTCTCAGCCCGACGTATGCAAAATACAAGTATTACAAGTCGAGAAGCATAATTTTCAAGACTGCCGACATGAATACAAGTCAAGCCGACATAACAAAAATCCAAAACAAGCTCGCGAATCACATCTAGGCGTCAACGCCTTCTTGCTCATCACCTACATATATACAGAGAGGGTGAGCTTGGATACTCAGTGAATGATATAAATAATAAAGGGGTTTGCATGAATAATAGCCGAAGCCCTTTCAAAACGATACATATCAAACTTCTCAAGTTTGTCATGAATATTGGGACAAATTTCACCACTCTATTTTGCCATTCCAGCATTTTTATACATATCAAAACTTTATATAACAAGGGATGGACCTCGTCCATCTAGCAAATCTTTAAAGCTTCAAGGGATGCTTACTAGCATCAACATATTACAAATGATGACATTCCGGACAAACAAACCCACGCGGTAAACCGTCAGTGGCAAAACAAGACAAAGCAAGGGAGATATCTCAACAAGATGTGCAGTTGCATTATAGTCCCCTAGCACTAAGGACTTCCAAAACAAGATGTGCAGTTGCATTATAGTCCCCTGGTACTAAGGACTTTCAAAACAAGATGTGCAGTTACATTATAGTCCCCTGGCACTAAGGACTTTTCCAAGAATGACATCAAAACAAGATAATACAGGATGTACAAAATAGGGTCAATCATTCATGCTTGATCAAATACTTTTCAAAACAAGGTAAAGCAAAGCTTATCAAAACATGATAACATAGCTTTATTAAAAATACCACTCACTTAGTTCTCCAACGTCGGGGTCAAGGCAAAAGTCTGAGTCCTACAAACACATGGCAAAGTCTATTGAACGTACTTTCAAACAAGATTCACATGCAAACGGATGATCTTGGCATTCATCAAAACTAAGTTAAATCAAAACAAAACACTGTTTTTCATCTCGGGAAAAACATACTGGGCACCAACCAGGTCTTGGCCGAGGTCCCACACTTTCTCACCGAGGTGTGGTTCCGACGGCCACATTCAAAAGCGAAGTCGGGAAAATCTGGGTTTCCCTTCGAGGAACATGAAGAACATGAAGATAGAGAAGACGAAGAACATGCACGCTCAAATCATAACTTGTTATTACAAAATCTGGGATTTCATGCTATGAGTTCGAAAACATGGACCTGGGTACCCATACTTGAAGATCTTGTGAAAACAAACACAAAAAACATGGTTCCTGATGCAAACTTTCGGATCAAAACAAGACTTCTTCAAGAACATAAGAACACTATTTTCTCTTACTAAAACCGACTTTAAATCAATGCAAAGCATGCAAAATAGGTTCGATCATGCAATGCAGCTGGATGATAAATAAGAACAACAAGAGTAGTTTAAGATTCTAACCGTAAAACTAGAATCTAACGGTTCAGACTCCCACGGTCAAGCTTGGAGGTCCACTCTCTCACTCAAAAGCTTTTCCCTCTTCTTCCTGGAGTCTCTCTCTCTAAAAGACAAGATTTGATACAAAATGATAGGTTTTTTCGACAGTCACTGACTTAACCCTTTGCTGGGACACGTGGCATCGGCTGATTGGCTCTACTAAAAAAGGTACTGACTGACAAGACAAGACCATGACAAGGTGTGTTCAACAAGCTAGACGGCAAGAGCACTCCGGCAAGTGGTGATCTTGGCTAAGGGCAAAGCTTCGGCAAGTAGGGTGGCGACGACATCGGCTTGGAAGGACAACACTTGACTAAGCTGTGCCACACCTTGGCCTAGATGTGTCACACCTCGGTCTAGGTCATACCATTCCAGGAACAAAATCACTAAGTGCAAGGATCAAGGATCTAGAACGCCTAGATAATAACATCTCGGGCTAGATAATGCACATCTCGGCCTAGGTGACGCACACCTCGGCCTAGATGATGACATCTCGGCCAATCTGCCAGGGTGAAGATGGAGGTCAACCGAAATGGTTCCAAGATAGTTCTAAGTGTGGAAAGGTTCCAAGGTGTCTAGGCTTAAGATGACCTCGGCAACACACCATGCAAGAACAAAGCATGCAAGCAACACTCAAGCAAAACAAGACAGGATTTGCAAATGCACATAACAAAACAAGATCATACATAAATGTATGCAAGTATGACTAAGTTGAAGTGAGGGTTGTTACATCCTACCCCCCTTAAAGAAGTTTGGTCCCCAAAATTGAGTTACCTTGTTCCAAAAACAATTCTGGATGTCGGACTTTCATTTTCTCTTCCATTTCCCATGTAGCATCCTCACTGTAATGCTCATTCCATTCAACTTTCACCATTGGTATCGACTTACTTCTCAATTGTCTCACCTGCCTATCGATAATCCGTATCGGCTTCTCTTCGTAGCCTAAATCCTCATTAACTACAATTCAAATAGTCGAATCACATGTAGGGATCTCGAATATACTCCTCAACTATCGAATATGAAAACACATCATGGACTTGGCTCAATTCTGGTGGCAAAAGCAATCTGTAGGGCAGCCGAGGGCTTAATTGACTTCAAAAGCCCGATGTAGGAGCTTACATTCCAATTTGTTAACTCCTTTCATCGGCGAAATCTATAGAATAACATGATCATCACCGACTTCAAATTCCACTCTCTCTTCTCTGGTCGGCATAAACTCTTATCTTCGACTCTGAGCGGTTTTGATTCTTTGCTGAACGAGCCTTAATCTCTCGGTTGTTACTATGAATTAACTTCGGTGACCAAGCAGAGCTTTGTCCCCTACCTTGGACCAACATAGTCGCGCGACCTGCACTTTGCTTCCATACAAGTGCTTCAATACGGCGCCATGCCAATGCTAGCTTGATAACTGTTGTTGTAGGTAAATTCCACCAATGGCAAATATACTCCCCAACTTCCTTGGAGGTCCAATACACATAGTCTAAGCATATCTTCAAGTGTCTGAATCGTTCTCTCTGTTTGCCCATCAGTCTGGGGATGAAAAGCTGTGCTAAACCTCAACTCGGCTCCGAAAGCTCTTTGTAGGCTCTGCCAAAATCTGGAAACAAACTTCGGATCTCGGTCTGACACAATTG